GCGATTTTAGCAGATGAGTGCAAAGACTTGTCAAAAAGAGAGCTAGTGGCAGTATGCATCAGATACCTGCACAACGGGGCATTGAGAGAACGGGCTGTGGAATTTGTGGAAACGGCCAACATGACTGCAGAGGCAATATCAGCTAAGATTTTAGAAGTGGTGGAGCCACTGCAGCTGGACCCGGCTCTGTACATCGGATTTGGGTTTGATGGCGTATCTGTCATGTCAGGGAACAGAGGAGGGGTACACGTGATTTTGAAGAAGACGTTTCCTCACGCTGTATACTGAGCTGAGGACAGCGACACAGGAGCCACTCAGGTGCAGAGTCACGGATGCTGTTGCAGGTTGCAGCGTGGTGCTGTGTTTTTCCTTTTTTTATTGGCCCATCCATTTTTCTGTAGGTCCACCCATTCACAAAATCCTGGCGCCGCTACTGTTGTCCAGTCATGCTTTTTTCAACTCAGAAAGATCAGATCATTCTTGTCTTCTTACACACCCACTGAAATCAGACAGGCTAAATCTTTATCTTTTACTTCATAAAACATTCTTTTATCGGAAAGCTTTTATTAATGTTGTTGTGTTTTATTTTGTTGTGTTTTATTTTCCCATGATATGGACAATCAATATGTTACTTACGTCTGTTTCATGTGTTTTTCTCTTTTTTTCTTTTTCTTTCTGTAAAGCACTTTGTAACTTTGTTAAGAAAAGTGCTATATAAATAAAATTTATTATATTATATATATTGAAGGTTTTGAGTTTGTATGGTAAGTCTTAGAGCAATCATAACTTGTCCCACCACACAGGAGAAGAGATATATCTGAAACAGAACAATTACTCTGGTGTAGGTGTATCATAGGTCAGCTCAGTCAAAGTATGGCAGATAAGGCTGGTTCAGATATAAACCACAGCAGTACTGATAATATAATAACATTTAAAATCTATTCAATACTATAGACCACTGAAGTTTATGACTCTCTATTCATTCTTATGGCAGTTAATCTGTGAATTATATTCTACTTCATTGATTATAACAAAAAGTGCACATCACAGTTTCCCTGAGCCCACTGTGAAACTGTTCAAAACCCGAAACACATTCCAGTTTTAGTTATATAAAAGAGAAAAGCAACAATTGAGGAAATAATCTTTTGATTGATAAGTGACATAAATCATTTATCAATTATCATAATAGTTGTGTATTAATTTTCTGTAATTAATTGATAACAAATTTAAAAACATGTAATTGTTATTTTTGATATGTTGTTTGGTAGTTTAGCTGACTAGTTGACATCGGCTGAAAAAATATCCAATAAATTAGGTGGGAAACATTGCAGATATGATATCTTCGGATATCAATTATTAGAGGCAGAGACATGTTTTCAGTTGCACTGGCTTTATTGCCCAAAACATTACAGCAACATTACATGCTAACCACCATGAGGTAACAACTTCTGATCACTCGTTACACCTACTGCGCACGGCACTACCTACACCTGCTTTACTATAACTATTGCACTGGTGCCCCCTATTGGTCCCAAACTACCATAACTGCCAGTCACTTCATAACACCCCTCTTTATTTCAAATGACTCAATAATTTACAGTGACTAAAACAACATAATCATAGTAATGCCTGTGTTATCATACACAGCAAGAACCCTCTTCTTACTGTCATACCTATAAAGTTAAATAGGCACTATGTATCTCAGTGTAACTCATTTCCATTCCAACACTGTTCTTCTTGTCTCTTAGTTCTTCTACATGAACATACAGAAAATATATGTAAATCTGAACACCATTAACAGTTCAGACTGAAGTAAATTATGAACCAGAAATGCATACAAGGGTGAGTTACCTACTTTACAACAACCCCACTACTTAAAGTAAACAATGTCTTATCGTTGTGTCTTTGATATGTCCATTATTTCACAAAGTCTTTCATATGTGCTGGTAGTCTCCTGTTTCTTTGAGGTCAGACTAAGTCTTTTGTTGGTGTACCACCAGATGCACTGCTCCCCTTTGTTATGTTTCACAACAGGAAGGTCTTTGGCATCCATTTGTGCAGTACCTATGTCCTGTTGTCCTATGCTGGTCTTAGGTGGAAGTACGACATCCTCCTCCTCATGTGTCAAATCTGGAATCAGAACTGGCAGATCTTGCTCCTGTCTGCTGAACAGTTGATCCACGTGTCTCAAGACAACTTTACCATTTCCCAGCAACACTGTATAGGAAACTCCATCCATAGTTTTTAGTAAAGACAGTGTCTCCTACCACAAAGTTGTCTTCTTTACGCTCTTTGGTTTGCTTGTCTTGGTTCCACCTTCTGTTTTAAGTCTGGGTGTATAAGATCCAGTATCCCCCTCAACTTTCTACCCATCATCATATCAAGAGGTGACAGTCCAGTTGTTGACTGTGGAGTGATGAGATAGCTAAACAAGGCCCTGTTTAACTTTGTCGCCACTGTATCACTGCTGCTCTTTTTCAGTAGCTCTTTGAAAGTCTGTAAAGCTCTTTCAGCCAAGCTGTTGGATGAAGAACTTTTTGTTTCACAGCAAAAGGTACTGACCTAGGCATATAATAGCAGGGTGTGGCATCACTAGCTACATGTATTTTCGCTGTGAAAAGCATTTCAACATCTGTAGCTCAAACTTAAACACTGTTTCATGTCTTAGAAAGCACTTCCGGGTCCTCTCTGTCCTGTGTTTTATGTACAGGTTGCCAGTCTAGGTGGAGAGCTTTAATCCAGCCTCATGCTACTAGACTTGTCTCTGAACCTTTAACAACCACTACTGCTAACCTCTTAGTTCTGCCATTGTGTTCTACTTTAACCTTTGCTGCTCCTAATACTGGCACTCTGTGACCACCATATGTTCTGTTTTATCCTGCACTTGGTAGCATGGGTTTGTTAGTGTCAGTGAATAGCTTGTGAAATGCCCTCCTAGACATAATGGTAAATCCACAGCCAGTGTCTACTTAATATGTCACATTTTTCCCATCAACTTTTAGCTCTTTCCAAATGAGCTCTTCTCCGGGAATGACTATTTCTTCACTCATGTTGTACATGGTCATTTCACCAGCCTCCATTTGATACATAATGAAAACAACCTCCTTATCACTATCACTCCCTTCCTCTTCGCATTAGCTCTCCTGTCATGCTTGTTTCTCTCTCCTTTAAAGTGTCTAGTCTTTTCTTTTCCCCCCGTTTTTATTCTGCAGGCACTCTTAATGTGCCCCACCTTACCACAGTTGTGGCACTTTTTATTGCCAAACCTGCAGTCTTTAGCCAGGTGGCCATCCCCACCACATTTATAGCATTTCCTCTGGTCTGGCTGAGGTTTTCTGTAGGCGTTGCTCACCTTGTTCACAGACCCCCTTGCTTGGTTCCATTTAGTCTGTTCTTTCATGCCATGCAAATCCACAATGTCAATTTGCCATCTCCATGGCTTTTTCAAAAGTCAATCCGTCCTCCGAGAGCAGCCTCCGCTGTATCATGTTGTCATTTATGCTGCATACCAAACAGTCTCTCAGCATCACAGTTAAAAAATCTTGAAAGCTACAGTCCTGTGCCAGCCTTCGCAGCTCTACCACATAGTCACTCATACTTTCTTCAGGCTTCCTATTTCTTGTATTAAATCATCATTGCATTATTTCTCTCAGTTTAGGGTGAAAATGATTTTTCAAAAGCCTCACCAGATTATTGTATCAATGGTCCCCAGGTTTGTCTAGACTAAGCAGGGTCCTCATAAAAGCGTAGGTCTGGGCTCCTACACCACTTAGCAACACAGCTCCTTTCTTTACTTATGGTAAATGGACTTGCACTTATATAGCGCTTTTCTAGTCTTACTGACCACTCAAAGCGCTTTACAATACTTGCCCCATTCACCCATTCACTCATACATTCACATGCGGACTGGAGGAGCCAGGGATCAAACCTTCTAACGAGAGGACGACCTCCTGAGCCACAGCTAGCTGTGGTCAGTGCCGTTCGACATGAAACAATGGTGCAGAAATTCACAGTATTCTTTCAACGTTTGTGACCTGATATCAAAAGGAGCCACTGAACCCACTGTAACCGTAACGTAATGGCACTTTGCTAATGAGAGCATCCGCCCAACTCTCTCCAAGCCAGCGGCACAACTACAAAAGCTCAGTTTATGCCCGTTACCACTTAGCCTAGCACGTTTTTTTTTTCTTCTTTTTTTTGGGGGGGGGGGGGGAATAAAGTAGACATTTTGAGATTATAGTCGACATTTTGAGCGATATCAAAAACCGCTTATGACTGCCTCTACAAAATACCTTGTATAGATGAACTGATGAAATTGTACTTCAGAATCGCCTTTAGAAACAAAGAAATTCTTTCTCTTTTGGCTCATAAACACAGTGTAGTTGTCAGCATCAGGACTTTGAAGAGATTGTGCCGAAAACAGCGTCTGTTCAGAAGGAAAACCACACAAGCTTGGAAGAGGTGGCTGCAATCGTGCAAACTGAAGTAGCGGGTGATAGACAAATGCAAGGATATCGTTGGTTACACCTGCGTGCAATTCAGAGACACAATAGTACAACTGATTAAGTTGTTTGAGCCTGAAGGTGTGGAGCTCAGGCAGGCGCAACAACAAAGGTCCCAACTGTGACAGGGGGAGTTGACTTTATTCTCAACATTTCGACTTTTTTTCTCGAGGTGCATGATGAAAAAAATCTTCCTTCATCCATGGCCCTAATACTCCTTCGTACTAAGTCCTTCTGCTCTCCTGCACTATATATTTTTCAAATATATATTTGTACCAAAGCCTATTGCTTGCCTTTGTTTAATACTTATAAGTTAACTTATAACTTAATAAGGAGCGGGCGTCCTTTATTTTTCTGCATGGAAGGTGGCAACCCTAATTGCAGCTGTTTGGCTTCAATAAATTGATCTATATCCAAAATGCATGTGTTTAGGTGTGGAGCATCACCTACAACAACTGGCTGACTTTTGTCTTGCTGGTGTGGTCCTGTATAATTTGGATGATGCGAGATCGACGGAGGTACGCCATGATGTCTGCCCCGTTCCTGGCCATCTACAGTACTTTCCTGGTGGTGCTGGGCTTCCTGAGCGGGTTGCGCCTGAGCCGGGCTGAGCTGTACCCTGGCCTGCCCCCAGCTGTGATAGTGGACTTCGACCTGAGCAGCTACCACCCTGCGCCCTGCATCCACCTGGGAGCAAAGGTGACTTTTCTTGATGTAAATTAAAGGAGTCATGAGGTCATGGGAAGTTCTGAAAGATTAGGCAAAAAGACAACTATAGCTGCTTGTGCCAAGAATCTTTGGGCCTTGGCTTAATTAGATTAGATGATGTAATGTTAGTATTTTAATTGTTTTCCATATATAAAGGTCATGTGTGTTAAAGCACCTGAAAACTTTTAAATCTCCTTTTTAAATTTCCTTGAAATATTAGATATCTGTTAAATGAGAAACAATAGAAGTTTAAAATAGTAAAAACTGACTTATAATGCTTTAACACAGCGTATTCTCATAAACACTAGTAGGCTGGTGTGACCTGATCAGATTAGATTGGCATTGGCATCTCCCATGGCAGTATACTGTTAAATTCTGATATACCTTTTGCATGGTAGACATTTTGACATTTTACTGGCACAACTGAAAAGATCAGAACCATTGTTAATGTCATCAGTAACACCTGTGCTTTTCCTACTATGAAAAGTCTAAGAGCTTGCTCTGAAATTATATTGGTGCCTGGAAACATACCACATCCTGAACAAGTGACAAGGACACAGAGCAAACACTGGAATGTAAAGTAACCAATGCTGTTCATATAGGATCCCAACACTCATAGTAAGACACTAATTAAGAACATTGGTTTTCAGGGAAGCACTGTGGTTTGCATCAAACAAAAAATTTCATTTGCACCCACAGACCAGCGTCTGAGAACTGTGCATTGACAAATCATTTCTGCAACTCAAGTTCAAAGAACCTTTTTCTTTTACTCACCACATTATATTGGCGTTGTCATACACATATTATTCAGAATTTAATTGTGTTTACTATCGCAGATTATAGAACAATGCATTTACACCACATTTTTGTACTCATGATAAACTGTGTTTGCTGCAGGTTTTCTACAGCTTCAGCTTTTGGTTGATGTTTCGTCAACAGCTGAAGGAGCGACAGGAGGAGCAGAGCTTAAAGGAGGAATCTCTTTATGAAGTCAAAGTCATACCACGTAATTTATTTTTGGGTTGTTTTTGTAAAGCGTATGGCTTTTGTTTTAGAGAATAACATTTAGTTTGGAGTAATGAAAGATCTGTATACTCATGAAAACCATCCTGACATGTGGACAGGTTATACATGTATAACAGACTTCAGTTTGATGAAAAGTTTAAAATGTCTCCTTGCTCCCCCTCTGTTCCCTTCTCTGTTCTCCCTCTGTCTCTCAATTCCTTCTTGTCTGTCATGTCAGTGGAGGAAAATCAGCCATCACCTCTTGTAGTGATGGTGATCTCAGGAGTGAAAGGGACACTGGTGAAATACTGGATACTCTTCTGCTGCTCTATGTTCTTTGTGGTCAGCTTCTCTGGAAAGGTATCTATTGACAGACTTAAAAACTAAGTGTGGGAGAAGTCCCATTTATGACACATTTGTAATCAGACTTTCCCAACACTCATCTCTGAGATGAAATTTGGAAGAAATCCCATAGCAGTTTTGTGGGCTTCATATGAAGTTAGGAAACTATGGTGAATTTCATAATAATACCAACAGCATTATAAATTGCATGCCTGAATTTTTCTGCTAAGGGGTTCAGGGCTGGGCAGTTATTTGTTTTGATAATCTTTTGCCTTACTGTCACAATTTCATCTGTTGTGATGATGAGATTTTTTCACAATGATTTAAATTTCCTGTAATGTCATCAGTACGATGGCCCTAAGAGCTCAACACACTGCAACTTCAGAAAACACATGCAAAGACACAAACATGCTGCCAATCCAGTCCTACAACACAACAGGAAGTGTTTCAAGGGGACACTAAAAAGTGATGAACCTGGCTGGGACTTGTTATTCAATGCTCATTTGTGGCTTTTGAAGAGAGAGAGAGAGAGAGAGAGAGGATGATATGGAGAAAAGGGCCATGGGTTGGACTCGACCCTGGGCTATTGCGGTTAGGAGTAATGTTGTTGTCCATGTCATCTTTAGCAGATTCTAGCATGTCAAGCATATAATATACATAGCAATAACTGCCCATCATATTCTATCCATTTCAAATTGACCTTATCTTTACAATGTTTCATTTATGCAGGTGGTCGTGTACAAGATTCTCTATATTGTCTTGTTCCTCTTCTGTGTTGTCCTCTATCAGGTTAGTCATTTTTGGCTGCTTCTAAACAAACGTTTGTCATTTGAAATGAAGTGCACTGATATAGGACTCTAGTTATTCAGCTCCTCCAGTAAAGCACCATTTATAGGAAATCCTGCATCCTGAACAGTAAATATGTTAGTCCTTGGTGTGAAGATTCACTTTTATGTATACATGTATTTTCCGACTATGTATTGTACATATAGCAGAGTAAAGAAAGGATGGAAATTTGATATTTAGACTCCAGGGGTCAATAAGTGGAGATTAAATCTGCTTATAGTTGAGATGCTGTTGCATCACTCACAAAGCCACTACGGTGTCAGGTTGATCTTATACTGTAATGGGTTGACTCCTAAATTATCATTATGAATCATTTAACTGTTGTTTGTGCATAAAAAGGATCAGAATGCATTTAGCTGTTATATAAACTCTGGGAATGCACACGCAAACACACTGTCTAAGGGCTTATCAATGTTATTTTGCAGTTAAAAGTATTGATTATGACTCATAAACACACACGATGCCCTTTTTGTTGCTGTTTTCTTGGTTTTTCTTCCCCATCTTATGTTTCTGCTGACCTTATAGAAACACAGCAGGCACTTACAGGAAAGCCTAATGGTTGTGGAGGTGACGTAAGACACAATAGCATCAGCTGTCTGTCTGGACAACATCTGCAACACCCTGCTGTTTTACATGCTGCGGTGTGTGGTGGGAGGAATAAAGACAGAAGTGTTATTTATGACAGTGAAGATATAGCTACTTTTTTCAGAGATGCAAAACATTGTTTTTTCTACATTCACTCATTTATTTCAGTTACTTCAGTTTACATTTCCACCACACAATTTCAAATAAATTATGTCTTAAAGAGTAACTGAAAGAAGTACAGAAAGGTTATGAGAGTAAGAAAAAGGAATATATCCCTCTTATAATTTTAGAATTGAACATAAGCCACATTTAAACTCTGTATAGGGAGTGCCTGTGGAATGGGTAGAGGAAACCAAACTCCTTGGAGTGATATTAGACAGCAGATTGAAGTGGTCAAAGCAGATTGAAAAAACTGTTGCAGCTATGGGGAGAAGTTTGAGATGTGCAAACATTTTACTGCATCAATGCATTTCTCACATTGTTCAAACATGGTTCTTACTCACTTGGATTACTGCCCACCGGTGTGGTGAAGTGCATGAAATAAAGATTTGGAAAAACTAGAGTTAGTCCAGAATAGAGCTGCACGAGTGGCTCTGAACTGAAACATTATCAGAATGCAAACAACCTTTAGGTTGGTCAATGGTGAGGGACAGGGTGGTTATTTCTTTGCTTTGTTTTATAAGAAATATTTCACTGTCTAAAATCCCAAATGTCCTGTACCATCAATTTTAAAGGCCACAATTTTAATATGAGGCATCAAGAGGTTGTTTTTTACTTCCTGTCTCAAAAAATGAATGCAAGGCAGTGCACTGTTCTGTACAGAGGAATGTAAACATGCAATGGTTTGACATCAGAAATTTCGCATTTAAGAAGACTTTAATGAAATATCTAATGGCACAGAACACCAGCCCCTCTAAACACAGGGCATGTTTTACTACATAATATCTGAATATGATCTTTAATGAGGAACTTCTTGGGTTTTGTTTTATTTTATTTTTTTTTTTACCAAATTTTATTCTTCAGTCACTGTATATGCTGTTTTTAGTGGTATTATTGTTTTTGAGCTGTATCAAGTGTGGAACTTGTCATTATTGGTAGTTTTACTGTTATTTGTATTTTTATTATTTATTGTTATATTATTGTTATTTTCTTGTTTCCTTTTTGTCTTTGATTTTGATTTACATTGTTTTGCATTATGATGTAATTTTTACTTGTGTGGATCCCAGGAAGAGAAGTTGCTACCTTGGTAGTGGCTAATGGGGATCCAAATAAATGAATGAAATAAATAAATACATATTGAAAAACCAAAAACAGTCCACTTAATGCGGATAGTACTCATAAGGTTCATATCATCCAAATACTCAAACTCTAGAATTTCAGCTACATTTTTATACACCTATGTTAACATGGTATGAGGATACGAGTTTTAGAAAGTTTCTTCTGTGATCGACACTGAAGGCCCTTTGAAGGCTAATAATGATGTTAAGATCTGCAGACTGAGAGAAAAGTTCTCTGTATATTTGTCTGTTTGTCTGTTTTCTTCAGATCCGTTATGATGTGTGGCGTCGGCTCCTGAAGACGTTCTGGGCTGTGGTGGTTGGTTACTCCATGGTGGTGTTGATAGCCATCTACCTGTACCAGTTCAGAAGTGTGTCTGGGCTGTTCAGACAGATCATGGGCATGTCAGAGGAGGGGTGAGTTTCTGAGTGTCTGCACATATAAGTTTGCGAATTGTTAATCATTTTATTAATTATTTTAGGAGTCATCATGGAAAAAAAATCATTGTGCATTTTGTCATAGCCTTATAGCACTTTTAGGCTGAGGTCTAAAAGTAAAAAAAATCCCCTCAACCTTGATGGAAAACAAGGAGAATTCATAAGCTCTGATCATGGTTGCTGCTCAGATATTTCCGGGTCATTTCACTCAGTTTGAACCTTCCTAAGAAAAAAAGACCTTGACCAGCGTTGGCCTTTTTATCATATTGTTTCTTTTCTTTGTACATCTAGACTTCGTGACCTGGGTTTGGAGCAGTATGACACAGTGGAGCTGTTTGCACGAATTCTGCTTCCTGCTGCGTTTCTATTGGCTTGTATCCTCCAACTGCATTACTTCAACTCAGACTTCCTGACTCTCACTGACCTCGACAATGTACCTGTCAGACAGGCTTCCAGGTGAGATGGGAAGAATATGTGCTGGGAAAAACCATCCTACTCATGTAGAGATACTGTCACCTGACTTAAAAATATCTATCACTTTTGATAAAGGTGAGTCAAGAAAAAGTACTAAAGCATTACAGAAGACTCCTCTGAGTGACAGATACTTAGTTACTCTTGTCACTATTAAAGGGCCGATATGACAAGTAAATGAATTAATTCTAATAGAAAATAGATAAACCACTACCATTAATGAATGATAGTTACATTAAAACAAGCTCTTACTGTGGTTACTGTATGTACCTACTATATATCTCTGTCTCATTTGTCCATCTTTCCACCCAGAGATGAAGAACTCAGAAGTTCAGTCAATGTGATATCTGAGGTGTAAGAGATGCATTTTTTCCTCCACAAATATTTGTTTCATTCACATTTTAGACACTTTAATGTCCCGTCACAGTTAATTGTATCTCACACAGTGGACTGAATAGATGTAATCAGTGTTTCAATCCTGTGAATCCTAAAGGACAACAATAAGTTTTTGTGTGTTTGTTAACTTAACACTCACTGTCTTTAATGTAATTCCCAGCATTAAAGAAAACCTTGCAAAGTTACAGAAAAGGTAGGACTCTTGCTCAGCTTTTGTTTTTTGTCCTAATCTAATGACTCACAATTTGTATGTACACATTTTGCTTATGAATATAATTTATGTATTTAGACATTATGAAAGTTATAATTTTGTGTTGTGGGATGGTGTGTCCCAAACTCACAATTCCATTCCCTGTTACAACTAGTGTGTGGATAGATGTCTCCTGAACCTGATGCTGACGTCCTATGCAGTCTTTGTACATTTCTCTGATTGAGGTATTTCTGATAATTGTGTGAAAATGTAAAGCTCGCTGTTGTCCTGCAGGCTTGTGAAGGAGCAGATGGGAAATAGGAGAAGTCAGGAGACTCTGGACAGTGTCGGACTGCAAACCTTCCTGGATAAAGGAGGAGAGGAGCAAGTGGATACATCAGGAGAGGGTAACTACAGCTCACCAAATGGCTCTTCAGTCTCATTTTGGTGGGTCAGTTAGGAGTGGGGTGATTAACTGATATAACATTATGTCATGATGGGCTGTCCTACAACAAGAATGTGTTGTTTATATGAATATGTTATTCACATGGTGGTGCTATTCACATGGTCTTACTTTTTTATGGGTTTGGATGATGAATTTTAGGTAGTAATTGGTATTTTGACATCAAACTGAGATCTATGAGACAAGTGCCTTTGCCACAGACATTTTAACTTACTTTGAAACTACTCTGCTTTCAACCTTTTCCAGTTACAAGCAGTTATATTTTCATATTTACAGGATGACATAGATGCACATGGTGATGTGTTTCATAAAATATTTTGCCTCTAATAAAATCATGGGAAACAAACAACAAAAAAACTGTTCACAGTTTGAGGCCATTCTGTTAAACTTTTTTAGGTTATGTTTTTCTCTTAAGTCACACAATTATCTTTGTGTATCATAGATTATTCTTTCCATTAATCATTGTATGAAACCTAGAAGAGCTATTATGTGTGTTCCTTCCCTTGTTAAATTATGGTATTTTCTCTCTTCCTCCCAGGAAATGTACCCAGCAGTCAAGAACGCAAGTGGAATGTGATAGTGGACCGGGTGAGCCTTCTGATCGTTCATGCTCTGTCAGGACTCCTCAAGCTCCAGGAGCTGAGCTGGAGACTGCTGGAACTCCACAACCTCAAAATCGTTTCCTCTGGCATCATTTGGGTGTCACTGCAGGAGGTGGGATGTTTGGACTGGAAAATATTTAGACTTTGATAACTTTGTTGATGTATCCAATAGAGAGAATAACTGTAACTTATTCAAGTCAAGAAATTCAAATCACAGAATTCAGTGTTTGGAAAAATTGTTGGAAGGAACACGTTATGATTTCCATTTTCACAGGTTTCTCTGATGAACTTTGTCTTCCTGGTTTTGTGGGTGTTTGCACTCCCATTCCCACGGTTACAACCTTTAGCATCCAGCATCTCTGCAGTATGGGCCTGCGTCATGGTAGTGTGCAAGATGTTTTACCAACTCAAAGTCATCAAACCCCTCGACTACTCCTCCAACTGCACTGCAGTGAGTCTAACTATGTGTATGACAGATAACAGTAGTATGAACTTGGTCTTTTTGTCATGTGCTTCATGCATCTTCCTTCATTTTTAGACATAAGCATGTGCTGAAAATTACTCTCACCTTCCTCTGTCTTTTGTACCTCAGGGCCTGGTATTTTTCAACAGCTCAATCCTGGAAAATAGAGTTGAGCTCAGGGGGAACATGGTGGAGCTGCTCACGAGGTCTATTCTTTACATTGAGCCCGTAGACCCCGTCTACTGGTGTGGAGCGTTGCTCAAGTGTGAGGGCAGGATCCTCCCCTGTCTCAGGGTACAGTGAAACATCTGTCCCAGAAAAACTCAGTATCTGATTTTTCTTTGAAATCATAACGGTCACACGAAACTGCTTTTGCATTCCATTATATAATATGAAGTTCACACGACCAGGTTCAAACGCTGACATACTCACCTATGCATTTACTGTAGGTACAACAAATACTTTTAATAGCTTTTTATAACCAGCAATATGAAAACACACTCCACAATTCCTAATTCCAGTTTTAATACAACACTCTTGGATTTTGACCAAGAGTTTGAATTATTTTTGCCTATAAAATACTGTAAATATTCTGTATAGTGGGTCTGAGTAATGCTGACAAGCTACAACTAATAATGATGACATTAAACAGGCCGAAGTTTGTACAGTACACATTGTAATTAACATTACATTACAAACATTACCATACAAACCTTTTGTTAACCTTATTATAATCAAATTATTAACATTCTTTAATATTTTTAACCATATTTAATATTATAGGAAGATAATTTTGGATGTCTACGGACATTCAGACCTGTGGGTTATGTCCCTGTCTAGTTTTTTTCTTCAAAGTGTGTTCTGTGTTGTAGAACCATTTGATGGTGCTGGGGCTGCTGGCGTTCAAGGTAACTATCCATCGCCACCAGCTCTACTTCCGTCTCCACAATGACCTGAAAACCCCACCCTTCAGCATCATCTTCCAGGGCATCACACGGCAGCACCTGGATCACGGCATTCTGCCATGCATCAAGTACTTCATAAACTTCTGCTTCTACAAATTTGGACTGGAGGTACTTTTTAAGGAATGAACTGTGTGTGTGTGTGTGTGTGTGTGTGTGTGTGTGTGTCTGTGTGTCTGTGTGTCTGTGTGTCCACACCTTTTCATGTGTACCTGAATTAACATATCGGACATTGACTTTTTCCTCTTAGATCAGTTTAATTGTGGCAGTCAATGTGATTGGTCAGAGAATGGACTTCTATGCCCTACTCCATTCTTGTGCCTTATTGGCTGTCCTCTCACGGCGACGCAGGAAGGCAATCGGGGAGGTGTGGCCTAAATACTGCTGCTTTACAGCGGGGCTCATGGTGCTGCAGTACCTGCTCTGCATTGGCATCCCTCCAGCTCTCTGTGTTGGTATGTAATTTTTAATAATCTGTGGTAGTTCTGTCTAAAGCTGTACTTTATATCCACTTCCTGAAAAGACTGATGCTTTTTAAATCTCAAAAAAGCAACAGCTCTGAAAAAACAGATGAGGAACTGGGGAGCAAGACAGAAGTGCTATTCACAGAAAATTACTTACCAGAAATAGAAAATCCAAGGATGAAGAGACTTACAGTGTCATACAATTATGGATTATGAGAGATGTCATCACAAAACAGTCCAAAAACTCCACAGCTATCAACATATAGCATGAAAGATGTAAAATTCAACAGCACAAACTGAAAAAGAAGCACCTTCCCAATATTACTATTATCAATTTAATCTGTCAAATTTGAATTAGTTGATTATAGAATTTCAGAAAATATTAACAAAAGCCCATCACAGCTTCCCAGAGCGCAGGGTGGTGTTTTCAAATAATTTTATTTTTTGTCCAAAATCCAAAGATATTGAGTTTAAAATGAGAGAATAGCAGCAACATCCTGACATTGGACAAGCTTGAACCAGTGAGCTGTTAGTAATTTTGGATCAATGAAGGAATTGTTCCAGCACACAATACAACAAGATTTAACTGCAAAAACATTGCATACAAGTCCCATTCTCTGTTGTTATATTCTCCTCTATTTTATTTACTTGTCAGATTACCCCTGGAGAACTGCAGTTCAGCCTTTGACCTCGAATGTTATTAAGTGGTTTTACCTGCCTGACTTCGCCATGAAACCCAATCCTTCTTTCATATTCTGTGAGTCTATCTTCCTTTCCTTTATTTGTTTCCCTTCTCCTGTTCCTCTGTTCTTCTGTACTGTCTCATGTCAGATCGGCCCTTCCTCTCCTCCTCTCTGCAGACGACCACCTCCTGCTGCTGTGCTCGTCTCTACAGTGGCAGGTGTTTGAGGAGGAGAACCGCGCAGCGGTGCGACTGCTGGCTGGAGACAACGTTGAGATCAGCCGTAGTCTGGATCCTTGTTCTTTCAACCAGTTCATACCCGTCAATAACTTCCTTCACTGCAGGTCAGAAACACTAACCCTACTGTTCAGCTCTTTATTTTGTTTTTTATCTTCTCCATTTTCTAGAGAAGTATTTATTAAACAAAGAGTAGAGTCTTTGTTCTGTGTCCATTATGTCGCAATCTTGTCTTGGTCTGAATGTCAATTTTATTTTTTTCATGGCTATTTATACATCAGAATATAATGTTTAATTAATTATCTTAGTATATAGCACATGACTGACCCTCAAACTCTAAATTTATAGACGCTTTATAGAATAAGAGCAGGAAAAAGCCTAAACTCTATAGTCAAGCAATCTCTTCAAACAGCCTCCTGCTCTGTGGGTTGAACTGCAGGTCGAGGGAACCCATCACGCTGGTTTGTGGTCCTTTTTAGAAGCATAATGAGTTGAATTAGATCTTAATTTATGTCTGCTGTCAGACTCATGAAAGCTGTTCTGGTAAACTCAAATTGCTGGATAAGCACTCATGGACATCTCCCATTTCCATGACATATCAGTGCCTTTGTTTATGGGTTTTATTTCACTTTCTGCAGCAGATTTACCACCATGCTGTCAACAGAATATATTTTACTATGACAAAACTCATATAAAGTCAGAACTTTCCACAGTGGACATTTGACATCAGTCATATTCATTAAAGACGCTGTGTTGTTTTACATTATAAGCAAAATTGAATTTTGGTTTTCAGCTTCTTAAATGTTGAGATTTTCTACTTCTCTGCTATGGGCATTTTTTTTTATTTTTGCAGTTTGATATTCCATTGACTTATCAAATAATCAATTGATCAAAAAAGTTTCAGTTTTTACTTTTTGTTAATTAGAGAGCTTTGGATGTGTTAGCAGTAGCTGTATTCTTTTAGTTTGAACAGAGACAAAGTTAAAACAAGCTTATTGTCTGCTGGCTGTAGCTTCACATCCACCACACTGATCTATTTCTAGGCACAGAACCAAATAAATGTATTTTCCCAAAATCTCAAACTATTCCTTTAAGTTTAAGTTTTTTTAAGTAAGATTTTTTTTTTCTGGGGAAAAAGAAAAAAAAACTTGTGATCACCCCCCCCCCCCCTCCCAAAAAAATTGTTTTTTTTCATTTGCCTCTCAGGGGTCGTTTTCACAGACGAAAAAAATAACTTTCTTCTCCCCAAAACCCTGCATGTCTTTCTTTTCTGTAAATACAGAAAAATATGAAATTGTTGGAAGCTGGGAATCTCTGGTTCTTGTATTATTGAATTATTTTTCACAGTATGAAAAGACAAGAAAGATAAGAAACAACTTAAATATATTTTTGTGTTATGTTGTAAAATGTCTCTGTCTTCAGGTGCTACCTTGACATGGTGAAGGTGTTTGTGTTCAGCTATTTCTTCTGGCTGGTGCTCTGCCTCATATTCATCACCGGCACAACTCGGATCAACATCTTCTGTCTGGGTTACCTGGTGGCCTGTTTCTACTTCATGCTGTTTGGAGGCAGCGTTCTGATGCAGCCTGTCAGGTACATCCTGCGTCTGTGGGACTGGCTCATCGGCTACACTTGCTTTGTGATCGCCATGAAGAACCTGCTGTCTGTGAGTTACCACACAGTGAAGAAGTTAAGTGTGTGTACAAAATAACTTAAGGCATGCAGCAGTTTACTGTTATTTAGCTTTTTTGTCAGACTCTACAGTGCTGATAACAGCCTGTCTCTGCCTTCACTGTCCTTTTTGTGATCAGCTCGGTTCTTGTGGCTACCTGGACAGTCTGTTGAAGAACGGCTGCTGGTTAATTCAGGCCTTCAGCATGTTCTGCACCATCAAAGGCTACAACGTCCGTAAGTGTCTGTAACAACAGTGACTGACATCTTCTGTATGTTTGTATACATAATGTGTGGTGTGTTTTAAAGAAAAGAAAGTTAACGTTTATAGTGTATACATAAACACAGTGTATAATGAGAGTGTGTTTTGTGTTTTATATCACATGAATACTGCTGCTGTCATATAAAGCTTTCAGACGTTATTTGCTTTGAATATAAGAGTTTAGTATCACATACTTTGCTGTCACTGTGTGTTTTTTATAATCCAAAGTCATCATTGTGTGCTCATATAGTTTTCACAATGTACATTTTATGAAATTCATTGGGTTTTTGCTTCTATTTTTATTTTCGAGTTACAAAGTCAAATTCAAATAGTTTATTGTTAGTCAACTGAAATGTATGTTTGAGGAGATTTTAACAACTTAACAACTTTTAACAACTGTGAAAAGCAGTTTAACGTGTGTTATCTTATGTCTGTGCATTAATGTTAAAATTAAAGTCAGTGTTAGAGTTCATGTTAAATTCCAAACTGACACTTTATTGACCATCTATTTATATCACCTAACAGTCTTGTCTTCTATCCTGTGTGTGTGTGTGTGTGTGTGTGTGTGTGTGTGTGTGTGTGTGTGTGTGTGTGTGTGTGTGTGTGTGTGTGTGTGTGTGTGTGTCAGCTGAGCCTGACGATGGGTGTGAGCTGCCAGAGGGCGAGGCCGGCATCGTCTGGGATGCGATCTGTTTCACTGTCCTCCTGGTTCAGAGGAGAGTCTTCCTCAGCTACTATTTTCTCTACGTGGTGTCTGACCTCAAATCTTCTAAGATATTGGCCTCCAGGTCTGCACTGCACACATGCTCGTCAACCTCCCATTTCCAAATAGAAATAGGCTGAGGGTATACAAATGACAGAAAGAGGTACATGCTTCAAAATTGAAACTTTAATCTGCAGAAATTCAAACTAGGAGTCTAACTTTCCTTGGATGAAGCAGCATTCATTCACAGCTGTTTAGCTTTTGCTGTGCATTTTACAGATAAGGAAAACAGGAACTTCCTAGAAAGAGAAACTCAATTTATTCATATTGTGGTTATTATTGGACTATGGAATGAGTATAACACTCTCTTGGTTATGCTAATAGTAGCTAAGCTTCACTTACAACAAGGGTTTAGTGTTAAAACAAACCAGAGCTGTATTCATTTCTAGTTAATTGTATCTTTTGTTAATTGCCTTTGTTTGAGTATTTGTAGCTTGTGTTGTTTTCTCTCTTTTCAGACTTTTACTAATTGTAGGATATTATCAATTGTGTTGTTTTAGCTATTGACTGTTTTAATGACATTATACATGTAAAAGCCCAACTAGGGACAGGAGTGGAGAATTAAACAGCTATAAACTCTTTGAGAAACAGATTATTATCATGCCTTGTTTTGAAAATTGCACTGTCTCTATCAAATAGATAAATAAAATGAAAACTAAAAGTATTAAAAACACAAGCAGCAATGATAAAATGAACATAATGCTAATGCTAAAAGTAAGTAAAGCCACGTTCTCTTCCTCTACCTTGCTCTATTTCTAAGGGGTGCTGAGCTGTTTGAGGCCAAGGTGAAGAAGCTGGTAGCAGCCAGACTGGAGATGGAGAAGAAATCTGTAGAGACGCTGAAGAAACAGTAAGACACACGCAGGAAAACAGTGATGTGAATTTGTGGATCCAGTTCACAGTGGCGACCAACAGATTTTGTCCTCTCTTGGAAACAGTAAAGTGTAAACTAGAAAATTCCAGGAGAAATTTTGAATGCGCCTGCTGCTTGGTGCATGTACTTCACTCCTCACGTTTCAATCTGTTCAAAGGACATTGCTGTCAGTTTCATTCATGTTGTAGAGACTTATCCTGACACTGACCTCAGTCACTGCAGGTGTCACTCAAAAACCCTTTTGAAGCTGTCACGACTGGCAAAAATCACACTGATGGTTTCAAACCCAAATTTTCCCCTACAACCACAGCAAGACATGTATACACGCATGTACATGCCCTAACAGAAGTTATAATAAAGCTATACCACTATATCCCCATATAGACAGTAGCTTCTACGATCAAACTTTTATGACCTACCTTACCTCTAACCTTTTTTTTTGGGGGGGGGCTTTTGTGCCTTTATTGGACAGGACAGTAGAGAGAGACAGGAAAGGGGGAGGCAGAGAGAGGGGGAATGACATGACGTAAGGGGCTGTCCAATGCGGGATTCGAACCGGGGCCTGCTGCAGCGAGGACTGTAGCCTCTACATATGGGGCGCCTGCTCAACCCACTGCCCCACTCGATGCCCCACCTCTAACCTTTTTGATACTCCTATTTTGAAGGTTAATCCAAATCACGGAGATGGTGTTTGTATGTTTCTGTCAATACATATATGTGTGTGTGTGTGTGTGTGTGTGTGTGTGCGTGTGTGTGTGTTTGTGTGTAGCAGTAGAGCTGCCCAACAGAACCTCCAGTAAGTTCTTTTTACCTGGTTGAGACTCTTATTTTGAAGGTGAATATCAAATGGTGTTTGTGTGTGTCTGTCAATGTGTGTGTGTGTGTGTGTATTGTTGTGTGAGGCAGTAGAGCTGTCTACCACAGAGCCTCCAAAAAGAGTTAGAGTTGCTCCCATACCTGAGTTAAAAGGCTAAGAATTAATGAGTTTAATTAGCCAATCATTATCAGCTTTGACCATTTCTGCCCAGTAACACCTGCTCCTGAATTTGTATTGCAGTCAATGGGAGAGGTGGAGGGTACTCCCATCACTTCCTCAAAAACTGTAAAATATATTAGAATGAGACCAAAACTGGGTAATACTGGACAAGAAAAGTGGAGCTGTACCTAAAGACAGCAGACATTGCTGAAGATGCAATAGATATCACAATCCTCTACACTGAAGTTGCAGTCTACGGGAGAGCCACTATGATGGCTGAACAGTTTCTGTAGCTCAAAGCTCAAAATAAATTCAATATGTCTGCTGCTGTATTTACTGTTGTACTGTCCAGTCTGAATTGTAATCTCTCTCTATGAGCACTAATTTGTAAACAGCTTTCTGTGTGTGTGTGTGTGTGTGTGTGTGTGTGTGTGTGTGTGTGTGTGTGTGTGTGTTGATTTTGTTGTGTGGCATGTGGGAGAGAATTGTTATGGCTATACACTATGGCTATACAGCTAATGATACTACATCTACGAATTAGATTTGATGATTAAATATTGCTATATTTTGACATCAACCGAGTCCTGAGCAGAGTGTTAAGACCGGCCTACTGTGAGTTGCGCTGTAGTTGAAGACCCTTGGCTGGAAGTCAGGTGGCTGTGGTTGCCGTGGTAACCCTGGAGACGCGGGATCTAGGTGGATTCTCTTGGAGGCCGTGTCCCATTATCACGATGATGGATTCTGCCGGTGTCTCAGCGGTTCAGCTCTGGTGGAGTTTGCCAGGAGACTTTCTGTCTCGGGCACTCTTGATTTCTGCTCGGCTTCTCTGCAGGCGGTCGTGCAGATGTTATCTGCCGGCGTCTCTTGTGGGTTGATGCAAAATAAACTCTAATGCTCTTCACTTTGGCTGGATAACTTTAGAGGAGACTGGTGTTGACCAGATGACTCTAAAGTAAAGTCTTCAAAAAGGAAAACTTGATGATGATTAAAAGTTACAAAATTACTCTGAGGCACTTCTGTTGTTTTGGTTCAGTTGGTCTTGACTTGGCTTATAAAAAAAAAGATCGTGCATGTAGACAAAAATGACGTTATTTGGAGCTTGTGGTAAAGAAAACTAAAAGACGTGAAAAGTGCAAAAATGACTAAGAGCCATGAGTTTGTGGCTAGCAGCTTAGAGCTAAGAGTTTACATGGCTACAGAGCCGGGCTTTGAGCCGGGACTCTGAGCTTTGAGCAAAGATCTCAGCTTGTAGTTTCTGCATCGTTTTCTAGCTTCAGCTTTTCAGCCTCTAGCTTTTAGCTTCGTTTCTCGCATCTTCTTGTCATCTGGGTTTCTCTGACTTTTCTCAAACTGAACTCTGACCAATGTGTGAATTGATCAAGATTGTTTTATCCCCTGTGGGCTGGTGTATGTTTTAGGGGCGTCACCAATCTTCTCCTGTGTTTCCACTTGGAGAAGAGAGTAATTTTCCACTGAACTTTAGAATAATTTGAATCTAGAGTTTACTTATAAACTCGCACATCCATCTTCCACCATGATCACAAAACATTAAATGAAATGTAATAGAGAGGAGTAATAGGAATGTTGATTTCATATTACATCCTTCAAACCTGGAATTAATCATGATACAAGTGGTTAATTGATCAAACAACAATATAAACTTTTCCCAAAGCTAATAGTCTATAAATGTGGATTACACAGCAGTTCTTTGACTGTAATAATAATAATATGGACATGCTGGATGTCATGTAGTGTGTTACCTTGTGTGAAGGATGCTGACAGTATGGTCACATGAAGGACATTGTCTTAAAATCTACATGTTACATTTCAAACATTCTATGGGATAGAAGTTTGGGATTAAACTATTGCATAGGAACATCTCATGAGTTACAGAACAGCTAGATATTTAATTTTACATTCTTCCTTAGATCTGTGTCTGTGAAGAGTGTTCTGCTTGTCACTACCCAGGATTGGAATGTGGGTTGTAGTTTATGACTCTTATCTAGAGAGGGACAGAGGAAGGGAGGTTGGTGTGTGTGTTCATGCATGGCACAGACAGGCCAGGATTCACACCTTAGTGTTAATCAGTCCTTTTGTTGTTACTTGTCCTATACAAGAAACAATCAAATATCAATAGACAGAGTCTTATTGTTACCAACTGGAGATTTTGCCTATATTCTCCAGTTGTCTGGTGTCCATTGGTTAATCCTCTGGAGCTGACCCTTTGACCCTTGGTCTGGTTCTGTGTCGTTCAGACATGCTAACAGCATGGTCTGTTTGTGGAAGAGGGGTCCTTTGTCTCTGTTTCCTATCAATGTGATAGTTTGATGGTGAGAAGAGTCGCAAATTGTCAATTGTGGGTCCATAACTCTGCATGTCCTTATAATGAACTTCCTTAATGGCTTGTGACTGATGCCAGGCCAGGTATGTACGCTACACACAAGTTCACGCAAATACAGGCAAATACAGAGTGTGTCTGTGTGATGTCTGCTGCTATTACAACAACACCACACTGAGCGAGCGAGAGAGAGGGAGAGAGAGAGACGCTAGTGCTAACTGCTAAGCTAAAGTAACAAGAAGATCTGAACAGCATGTAAACAACTGCTGAGTTAGTGAAAGTCACTAAAAGGAGCAGGGAACTCCTAAGTGCTGGATGTATGTACAGCAGGTAGTTAGACACTGAGATGAAAAAAACAGCAACATTAAGTGTGTACTCCCATTGTTTTGAGGCTCATGTTCAAATTCTGTAAGTCTCTGTGCTAAGGTAGACACATTGTATGAAACAGGACAAATTTTTCTACTACTACTATTAAGGACAAGTTAAACATATTTTTTTCAGACAATTTTAGAGCTTCTCCCACTCTAGTGATGATGTCATCCACTCTAGCCCTGAACATTCCGTGCAATACACACCCATTATAAACTCAAAAATGAAATGAAAAAAATCATGAAACTAAAACTGTGATATTTGAAAAGCTATCACATCAAAAGGAGACTCTGCTCAACGCAGTGAAATAAAATACTTGTCTGTGGAGTCAAAAGTAGCTCCAAAGTAATCCACCAGTTATAATATATGTAATGTGGAGTCAGTTAGAATGACAAACTGAAATTAACCGCCGAATGTTTCATGAATAGAGCTGGACTGAAACATATTTCCAGTAAAAACAGTTGAAATGTGTGTAAATCATTATCTGTATTTAGTGTTGGAGCTGGACTTTGACAGAAATGTCACTAAAGTGGTTGATAAACGGCACAGATATCAGAGGAGTCTCTAATCAGGTCATTTGATCCACCTGTGTAGCCCCATTCCTGCACTCAGAGGCTGCCCTGGTGATTTTAACTGCTTTGGTCTGACTGAGTGGGACAGAGATTCAGTTGAAATATACCTCTCGAACTGACAGTTGTCAGTGAAATATCGTAACTGTTATTACATGAACGTTTAGATTTTGTAAGAGAGGAGACTTTGCTGATCGCAGTCATATAAAATGTTTGTCTGTGGTGCCAAAAATGTGACCTATGCAGTGATTTTAAAAATACCTCCCTTCCTGTTTCCTCTTGATTTTCTGCTACCCTGCCACTTTGGAAGGGCACAATTCAAATCCTGTGAGTCTCTATGCTTTGTTAGTCACATTGTCTGAAAGCCGACAGTTTTGTCTAGTTGGTGGGACATAATCATGAGCGTAGAGTCAAGTTTGTGGCCTGGAGGACGAGTTTAAGAGGATTCTTTTTGAGCAGTTTAATCCCTTCTCCCACTCTAGTGGTGATGTGAACATTCCATGCAATACACACCCATTATAAACTCAAAAATTATCAGAAAAAAAGCATCAAATGTAAACTGCGCCTTCAATGCCACTGCATCACAGGCACATAATAAACAACGTACCTTTCCACCCTCTTCCTGTAGGATGGAGAAAATCAAATCTAAACAGAAGAGTCGGCCTGCACCAGCAGACAAACCAGGAGCTCCTGCTGATCAGGAGCAGGTTGCACTGGGTAAATCAAGTAAATCTATTGTCTGTTTCTACTGTTAATAATTCAGCAAGGCACGATTGCATAGACAATCACCAAGTCTATTTGTATTACTTCTTAGCTACTGTACTTATATTCTACTTAATATCCATGTTTCTGTGTTTTGTGACAGGAGACATTTTGTGACATACCTATTCAGTTGTATTCAGATCTCTTATGAAAGTCTCAATCCTAAATTCAGATACATAGAAGAAGAGTTTTATGATGTAGGATCATTCTGCATTTTCACTACTATACTATACTATATTTGTATAACCTGTGGAGCTCATCAATCTTTAATCAGGAAAAAAACAACCAATAAGAGCTTGAGCTGTCTTTCTCAGGTGATGATGACAAGGCAAAGAGAGATGCCGGAAAATGGTGGAAGCCTTGGGTCTCTAAGCCTGGAGGTGAGCCACAACCCCACACAACTACAATACTGCTCAGTGCTCTCAGAATGATAGATAGATAGATAGATAGATAGATAGATAGATAGATAGATAGATAGATAGATAGATAGATAGATAGATAGATAGATAGATAGATAGATAGATAGATAGATACTTTATTTATCCCCTAGGGGATATTCATGTGTTCATTAGCTCACAGTTGATAATAAATAAACAATAGTAATTAGATTAGTCCACTTCCTTTGGCTGAGGTGTTGCACAGCCTGATGGCAGTGGGAACAAAGGATTGATGATGCACCAATGTCTAAAAAGCAAAGAAAGCATATCAGAGGAGAAGAGTGAAGACAGGCCACTGAGCTGCTGTACTGGAGCAGCTTTGTATGAGATGCCTGCTCAAACCTTTACCGTGTGTATAGAGATGTAGTTTTGACACCGCTCTGTTTAACACAGTGGAAAACAACTGTGGCTACCACCTGTTTGAGAGTGACAGCGAGGAGGAGGAGGAGGAAGTTCCAGAGAAGAAAGAGGAGGAGGAACCACCAAAGAAGAAATCTGCTTTCCAGGTAAGAGTCAGAAATTCATTAAATGTTTTCCATCCACTAAATGAAAAGTGAACACTGATGGAGTTTTGACTGTTTGCACATATGGCTAATGTGATAAAACCGGTCAAGTTGTGTATTTGTGTTTGTGATGTTGCAGCTGGCCTACGGAGCCTGGGTCACCAGCTCTAAGATGGCTCTGAAGGACCTGAAGAAGGAGAAGAAGAAAATTAAGAAAGAAGAGAAGAAGAGAGCAAAGAGAGAGCTGGAGAGACAGCAAGGTGAGAGAGTGACATCTGATCCCCCTCTGTAGTCAGTCTCTGAGTGTGAAGGTCAGGGTGGCTGCTGTGAACCACAGCTGGTTTCATGCAGTTACGAATCATATGAAATGTTTTGATGAAGACTGGAACATTTAGAGACATTCTGAAACTGAAAGGTCACAGGTTTGATCCCACAGGCATCGGTACATCCACCAGCAGCTACAATGGGGTCCAAAAGTCTGAGACCAATTTCCCATAAGTCAAAGGGTCATTGAGGGTGACCCATCAGCTGAGTGGTTAGGGAGAGTACCAGGACATCAAAGCAGGTTCTCAGTTTCATTACTGGACCATTTACTGCATGTCCTTCCCTGACTCTCTCTCCTCTCATCTCCTGTCTCCCTTCACTGTTGAATAAAGCAAAACAACAAATGTCATTGAGCAGACACAAACACCTACCCAAGGGTATAGGTTTGGGCTCAGCATTGGTCGGTACACAGAAACCCCTCCAGAACAAAGAGGACTGTTCAATGCTGTCAACAGATCGGTTTATGAACATATGATTTGTATTGATATTTAAATAAAAACTACACAAATCAAGGATTAAAAGAAAATACACTGTAGGAAAAGAGGAAAAACAAACAATATTTTTGTATTTTGCATCAACATGTATTAGGTCTACCAGTGTTGCAGGTCCCCCCTCCTCCCTTGATTTCACATTTAAATGTTTTCACAGTGATGTCAATATTAACAATCTAATAATGTAAGGCTGGTGACGTCAGGTAGCTGTAGCAGGTTTTCATTTTAAGTTAATGTGGCTGTGCTGGTTAGTTTACTCCATGTTACTGATGCTCTGGATGGTGAACAAGCTCCTGATGTCTGATATCTACAATGGACAACATTGTAGGCAATAGAGGAAAGGGAGTCATCTGAATTACAACATTTTTGCCCATGCTTGAGGTCTGGACTGACACTGACTCCTCCTCCATGTCTGTCAGTAAGTCTGATATTTGTACATGATGTGAGCCTCCTGTTAGTCCCCTTTCAGTCAATCTAATGCTAGCATGCCTTAATCGGTTGTCTTGGAGACATAGCGGGCACATGGGAATGATCTAATATGACTTCACTTTAAACATGGTGCGAACGAGTTCACTCAAATATTTATAGGAACATGTCCCTACCGTCCATATGCAAACCTATGCCGTTGCCTCTCCCTGCTCACCAAGTGCAGTTCACAACAGAAGAGATGAAAGCTTCACCAAACAGCATAAAAGCTAAATTGAATGAATTTACACCATATTTACTCTTATCCTTATAGTGTGCTACTGGAGGCCACAGGGTCATTAAAATCCAAACATTGACCCTCTGCAGAACACGAATGTGCATGGATTTTTAATAATAAATTCAATGGCGAACTGCTGAGTACATTATAAGGAACTATAACTTGTTTGCAAAAGTTTATCCTGCCCAAATTGGATTAATTAAAAGTTCAATTCAATCTATCCTTGAGATATGAATACTTTTGGTGTAAAGGTGAACATAATGGCATCAGAGGACAGACCAAGTCACCAAAGCTTTAGCATTCATTCAAATTTTTTTTGGTGCCCTCTTGTGCACCAAACTAATGAATATATTGTCCTGATCATGGAGTGTCAGCTGTGGTCAGGAGGACACCAGAAACATCCATGAGCATGACAGTAATCAGGCTAGTAGTTGTGGAGACATTCTACCACCTGAAAAAATGATGTAACAATAAAACTCTCTCCTTAGGCCTCGATAGAACAGATTCTAGTGAGGATGAGCTGGAGGAAAACACTGTGGAGGAGGAGGAGGAGGAAGGAGAGGAGGAAGAAGGTAAACACACACAATCACTGCATTACACTCTCAACAAACCACCATTCTACCAGCGAAATGAATATTTTGTTACTGAATGGCTTCAAAGCAAACACGCAGCAGTAAAACCTTCACTATACTTGACTTTACTCACTTACAGACTTGTCCTCTCCTTACAGAAAACATCCTGCAGCGCATCATTAACACCCTGAAGTTTAGCTGGGTGTTCATTCAGTCTCTTCTTGACGACCTGACAGAAGGTCTGAACTCGTTCTGTAAAGACAATCTGGACATTTCCAAAGTGCTGCGCTTCGAGCGAGCGTTACTCAACCAGCGACAAAAGAAGGTGGGACAAAACTGACATGTGAAACCCTTTAATCCCTCAGTATCATATTTATATTTTACAGGGGAAAAACAAACAGTTAGAATGATGCAGTGGTTTTCAGAAAGTTTACAGTGATCTCGTTGGCAGGACAACCTGGACTATACTGTACTGACTTTACTGGTTTATTGAGACTGAGGCCCAACCGCCAGTGGTAGGATGGCAACAGGTACAGAGCCTGAGTTTGTAAAAGAATAAGAAGCTAACTGAAAGACTAACTCAAGTCTCTGCGACTGCCTCATTAAATTAAAATTTCAATAGGGAAGCAAAAAAGTAAAGTATGACATGTATTCTATTGAGTGGTTTAAATTCATACACAAATATATAGAACAGTGTATACCTGTCACGCTGTGTTTTGGGTGAGCTACAGCCTCAGTTTCTCCTCAGTTCTATTTGACAGTGTTCTCCTCACTCTGCAGGGCAAAGAGGTGAACCAGGAGAGCATAAAGCAGTTTTATGAGAACTGGATGTTCCGTCAGAACACACTGTCATCCCAGGCTGACTTAGATGACTCCTTGCCTCCTCCCTCATCACCACCCACTGTGCCCTCCTCACGCCATGCTTATGCCAAGCTGAAGAACCAGGCTTCCAAAGTGTCCTGGGGCAGCAGCGTCTCCAGGTAGGTTACTGGACGCTGAGTAAGTCACATATACAGCAGGAGACTGTAGGATCTTTTCTCAGGGGTAAGTTGTCACACGGATCATATCTACAAAACCAGAGGGTGCTATCTTAAAAAAAAAAAAAAAAAAAAAACTGCATCAGCTGCATGAGCCTCTAAGTATTTTGAAGTCATTTTGCTCTTGACATATGGTCTGCTTCACTGTAGCTGAGGTGAGAACAATTTTCAAATTTGTCAACCCTAAAAGTGAAAAATCTAAAAAATCTTCACTATTACTTTTGCAAATGATAGGAGAGATTCCTAAACCAAAGTCCTAGACTAAAGCTAGCAACAGCACACATCTCACTCTCGAACTTTCTGTTGCTGTTAGATCCAGTTACAACCTTCTTCACCAGATGTTATTGGTTAAAACTGTTGGAGGCATGCTGACATCAGCACACATGTTTAGTTTTACAAGAAGATCGAATTTTGATATAAGAACGTGGAAATATGTTTCTGTCTCCCCCTTTCTCTGTGATGTTGTCACTCTCTTGCCTGCGTCCACTGAATTTCTTCCTCTGTGTCCAAACATGCTGCAAATAAGTGTGTAGTTAGAGGAGCAGTTGGACTTTAGTGGCTTTTCTGAAGTTACAACTGCCAGCCAGTCATACATATGCACACAACATATTTAGGGACTACTTCTCTTTCAGACCATGTATACTCATCTGCTCTTACCTTTAGCTGTATGACAGATGAGACGATGCTAGGTTCCCGACAGCCAACCCAGGAGGAGCTGGACGAGCCTCCTGCTGTGCCACCTGCTGCTGACCAGCTCAGAAGGAGGCTCCTGAAAACTACCAACATTGACCTGACCTCTTTTGACACCGATGAACTTTCACCAAGGTGAAGGACAAATCTTTGGTTATGGATGATAAACAAAAAAGGCTCAAGGTTCAAGGTGGGGATAATAAATACAGAAGTGTGGACTCAGTGGTCACTTTAATAAATCTAATGCAATCCAAGACAACAGCTCAGCCATAAATGCAACATTTACAAAATTAATAATGTTCAGTTTTGTTTTCAGGTGTAACTTTAACTGTTTTGATTATTGAGTTGCAGTGGTGTTTGACTGGATTGCTTTATATTGACAGATGTATTGTTCAGGGATTAAGAATATTAGAAACGACACTCACCGAGATGAAAAATAAACAAGTACATAAATTAAAAGTTGTAAAAAACTGAAAGTTTTAGCAGGAACTTAAGTTTCTTTAATGTAGAATTTGTGGCAGATCGTGGTATTGGATTACATTAAATTGTATAGTTATATATAATTTATACCATATATAGGCCTACACAATAAAGTGGCCAGGTGGTTTACATATGTTAGTTAGATGTCAGTTATTTTCCTATGGTAAATCTCATCTGTCCCTAACTTTAACACTTATCTCATCTCTATTTCCATCAAGAGTAAATGCAGTACACATGATACCCTTCAAATTTGGTATGAAACTGTCATGGTAGAGGGTAAGGCTGGACCCAAATGCAGCCAACACAAGGGAGTTGGTGAAAAATGTTTAATAATCAGAAGAACTTACAAAACTTGTGAACCAACCGAACAAGAAGCCAAAGCACGATATAACACTGGGGACTAAACAGAAAGCTGAAGCACAAGGAAACACAGGGGACTTGAACAGACAAACTGACACAGACAAAGTGGAGCACAGCGACTAAATAGACACAAGGGAGGCAAGGGTGGTTGAACACAGGTGAAACACAATAGGGCGAGGCAGACAATCAATTTGGAGGGGAACAGGACAAAGACAGGAAGTAAAAACATCAAGAGACACAAGGAAAGTAACTACAAAATAAAACAGGAAATGACCAAGTGCAAACATAATACAAAACTCAAACATAAAATGTCCGTCATGGCAACCCATGACAGAAACATTGCAGCCATTCAGCATGACTTGTTTCAGTGCTGCATTAAAACCAGACACCAGGCAAACAACACAGATCAGATTAGAAAATGTTATAAAAAAAATTTTATAGGTTACAGCTTTGGTGGATCTGTTCTAAAGGCCCAGTCCATCATCCAAATGTGAACAGAATGATCATCCCACCATTTAGTCAAATTTTATTAATAATTGTATCATTATCATTATTATTGTTATTGTTATTGAAAATCATCAATTACTATCAAATTAGGTTCTTACATGGAATCCTCCATGTTGTTTTTGCCTGAGATGTTTGTCTGCCAATCGTTGTGAAGTTTTTTTTTTATTGTTTTTTTATTTTATAAAGAATAAATCTGGACCCTTTTGTTATATTTTTATTTCTTTTTAAAGATGCTTATGTTTTTGCAGCGCACAACACTCTCTCTACATGTTTTGTGCAAATTTCTTTGTTTCTGAAAGGTAAAATGTCCCCGTTTCTATCTTTGTCTCAAAAGCTTTGAAGATGGTGCAACTCTGAAGGAAGACCACAAACAAGAAGAGGATGATGAGGACGATGCGGAGGGTGAGAGGAAGCCAGAGCAAAAACAAGAAGAGACAGAGGAAGAGGAGCAGGAGGAATGGCAAGAAGAGGATAATGAGGTGGAGAGAGAGGAGCTGGATGAGGACCAACAGCAGAAAGAAGAAGATGAATGTGCTGAATATCCAGAATGCACCTCACTGGGTTTCAGGGAAAGTGACGGAGAGAAAAGTCTCGATCTCACGCAGTCTCCTAGGCCTCTGAGTCAGGAGACCAGGAACCTCACTGCCAGTGAGCTGCTGCTGAACAAGTCAGTTGACACAAGACATGTAGTACTTGAAAACAAGATTAGAGCATTTTTAGAGACAAGCTGATAATCTCCATCTCTTTCTCTTTCTTTCCATCTCTGTCTTTCCTTCCCTTTCCTCCCTCTCTCCTGTAGTATGTTTGAAAATGACGAGATCTCAGAGTCTGATAAGTTTTTTGTGACGTTGCCGAGGCCCCTGAAGCTGCTCTTTGCCCTCTACAACACGATGGTGTCCAAGTCAGAGATGCTGTGCTATTTTGTCATCATCCTCAACCACATTGTGTCGGCTTCGCTTCTCTCCCTCATCCTGCCAATACTCATCTTCCTCTGGGCCATGCTGTCTGTGCCCCGGCCGAGCAAACGCTTCTGGATGACTGCGATCATCTACACAGAGGTTTTGAGGACATTTTTTGGTCTGTTTTATATTAGAAATATTATTTTGTTGGTGGAATATTCAAAATGCTCAGATTAAAAATGAAAATTAAACAAGGGCTCATTTATTGTAGCTTGCTGATGTTGTTTCTGTGTTCATATTTTTCATGATGCTGCACCTATAAATGTGGACAACTTAGCAGAAAGATATTGTAACTCACTACAATCAAAGCTTTAGGTTTAGTTAACTTATAGTATTCAATCTATGTTTTGCTCTATAATTTTGTTTGTTTATTGCACTTTATATAAAACAGACATGATACAACTACTGTACTATTTCTCTCATTCAGTAAAATTGTTTCTAATGATTAAAACTGGTAAAATTAAGATATCAGATTTTTTTCTGAATATATATTTTTTATTCTTCATTGTTTCAGCTAATGCATAATCCAGAACTCTTAACTCTTTCTCCTCTGTTTCTCTCAGCTGACTGTTGTGGTGAAGTACTTTTTCCAGTTTGGTTTCTTCCCCTGGACCACCTCTGCCTACAGAGGCATCAACGCTGAGCTGCCCTTTGCCCTTCCAAACATCATCGGGGTGGAGAAGAAAAACGGCTACGTCCTCTTTGACCTCATTCAGCTGCTCGCTCTCTTCTTCCACCGATCTATTCTCAAAGTAACCATGAGAAATTACCTCTGAAATACATCCGCTCATTCAAATTACACCCATCTACTGCTGTATGTCTTGTGAGGGACCACCACTAGTTTTGCATGTTAAAACTCCTTTTGTGTCTGTGATTGTATAGTGCCATGGGCTGTGGGACACTAAGGAGGTTGAGATGCCTGATTTCTTCAAGAAGATGAAGAAAAAAGTGGAAAAGAAGAAGATGACAGGTGGAGATAAGATTGCCGACAAAGAGAAATCTGCACGCCGGCTGAAGTTCCTACCCCTACAGGCCTCTACCAGTTCCATATTCTGTAGACGAAAGAGAGGTGACTCTTCAGGATCTCCCCATGGTCAGTGTTTAGAAAAAGCTCAAGATGTTTTTATCCAAATATGATCGTATAGTTTGGATGAATCCAAGTTTCCTGTTGTCTTTTGTTTTGTTTTTCTTAATGTCCAATAGTTGCTATTACTAACATTACTTATTACTAACATTTCTCCATTTTTTGTTTCATTTTTCTACTGGAGAGGTGAAGCCCAAGAAGCAGCATAGCAAGAAGAATGGACGGCAACGAAACAAGGCTCCGCTGACCAGGAAACAGAGGATCAGACAGCAGATCAGAGAGAGGATGCTGCAGGCCAAAGCTGCCGTTATAGAAGTGTACGCTGATTTCTTGTCTGTTGTTTTGGTTCAGATTTGACAACTGCTGTATCTGTGCTTTCTGCTGCTAATTAATTTTCTTTTTGTCCACTGCTTTACATCCATCTGATCTGATGGATAATAATTGCATAGAATCTTAGTTTTTTGTTCCTAACGTGAATATTTGAACTTGGAGAAAAGTTTGTTCTGGTAGCAGAATTTTCCTGCTTATGTGGGATTCTGATACTGTACTTTCTTTTTTGTTCTTCAGCGGCCTTCACATTTACTTACCCATAAGGCAGTTTTTCTACGACATCATCCACCCAGACTACAGTCCTGTATGTGACGTCTATGCCCTCATGTTTCTCATCGACGTAGTCAACTTCATTGTCACCATATATGGATACTGGGCTTTTGGGGTTAGATTCAAACCAAGAATATACATTCACATGAATATTACTTAATACATTTAAATGTAAATGTTCTGTACAATATGACAGTCAGGCAATCAGGCTGATCTCTGTCTCTTGTGTAGAAATACTCGGCAGCAGCTGACATCACAGAGTCCCTGTCAGAGGACCAGGTTCCAGAGGCCTTCCTGGTCATGCTGCTCATGCAGTTTGGTACCATGATAGTGGACCGGGCTCTCTACCTGAAGAAGTCCCTCCTGGGAAAGTGTGTTTTTCAGGTGGTGCTGGTGTTTGGCATACACTTCTGGATGTTCTTCATCCTCCCCGGTGTCACTGAGAGGTCAGAGCTCATCACTTGAATTCATTTTTCTTTTCATTTCTTCACTCGAGACTACTTTGACATTGAGTCCTTGTTTACACATGTGTAATGTCACCACACAAAAAAAAAAAAACTCGAAACATTTTAAACAATAATATTGTGTTAAATATGACGGCAGTCTGCTGGGTCTCTACAACAAGAAAAACTCGAACAAGAAAAACTAGAATCCCCTTCTCGTGGTTGTCTGTCTCCGCCACTCAGACTCTGCCATTTGTGTGAAATTTTGTCATAGCTGCTGTGTAAAGTCTTGAGTAATGGCTAAAAAGTGTTTTCTGAGGTCACTGTGACCTTGCCCTTTAGCCACCAAAATCTAATCAGTTCATTCTTGAATCCAGGTGAATGTTTGCACCAAATTTGAAGAAATTCCTTCAAGGCATCACTGAGATATAGTGTCCATGAAAATGGGATGGACGGACGGACAACCTGAGAACAATATGCCTCTGGGTCTGACTGTCGGAGGAATAAACACATCTATTTGGATTCTCTTTCAGAGATGGCTCTATTAAAGCCTGTGCAGTGCTTTTATGTAAGCACACATTGAGTGTGTTTGGCTTCATCCCAATGACTTCTCGGTTACCATCTATTACATTTTAGAAAAGCAAATAAATCACTGGATCTGGTTTTTAAAAAAAACAAAAAAAACAAAAAAAAAGCTTTTAACATAAAAAACACCTACATCATGAAACTTTCACTCCTTCAAGCCTCTATTTGTTCAATTTGAATATGAAAATTAAAAATCTAAATATGAATCTGATCTGGGGACAATGACAAGATATTTTCATTGATATCTCCTTCTCTTGTTGTGTGTTTCTTTGCTCCACAGGAGGTTCAACAGGAACCCTGTGGCACAGCTCTGGTACTTTGTGAAGTGCATCTACTTTGGCCTGTCTGCCTACCAAATCAAATGTGGCTACCCAAACCGAATCCTGGGCAACTTCCTCACCAAGAACTTCAATTACCCGAACCTCTTCCTCTTCCAAGGGTATGAAAATGGTGACATGCTTTATAAAATACAAATATATTCTTAAATAGCATGCACTGATTGTAACTTCAGTGTACAAGACACATTTTCTACACTGTAAATATGTGTGATAGTATTTCTCGTTTGTTTTCTTGGTATTTAATTTCTTAATTTTATACAAAAGAAACCAAATACTAAATTTTCTTTCTTCATTGTTGTTGTCTCCTCTCCTCCTCCAGGTTTCGTTTGGTTCCCTTCCTGACGGAGCTGAGGGCGGTGATGGACTGGGTTTGGACTGACACCACTTTGTCTCTGTCCAGTTGGATTTGTGTTGAAGACATCTATGCTAATATATTTATTCTCAAGTGCTGGAGGGAGTCTGAGAAAGTAAATGAGAGCATACACTACACATGTACTACTGCATCAGTATGTACAGTATGTACTGAGCACTCTAACTACAATGAAAATATTAAAGCAAAAGACCAGAACATTTGTATCTTCAGGGTTAGATTTATATACACGATGACCAGTTTATCATTGTCATCATTTATCAAGTAATAATACTGATCATATTCTGATTACAGCTTCTAAAGTATGACAAGCTGTAGATTAAATCCATTTTGGTTTCTGACTGTTGGTCAAACCAAATTAGCAGTTTGAAGGCAGCGCTCTGATAATCTCTCAATCTGTCATGTCATGATGTTTTCAGGTTGTCCGTCCGTCCCATTCTCGTGAACGCGATATCTCAGTAACACTTGAAGGAACTTCTTCAAATTTGGCACAAGCATTCATTAGGACTCGAGGTTGAAATGATTCGATATTGGTGGTCAAAAGTCAAGTTTGCAGTTACCTCACACAACACGGTTTTGGTCTTGTGAACACAATATCTCAGTATTGCCTTGAGGGAATTTCTTCCAATTTGGCACAAATGTCAACTTGGATCAAGGATGAAGTGATTTGATTTTGGTGGTCAAAGGTCAAGGTTGTGGTGACCTGACAAAACACAGTATTGGCCTCTTGAATATTGAGGAAATTTGTTTAGATCTAGCACAAAGATTCACATGGCCTCAAAGATGAACTGATTAGATTTTGGTGGTCAAAGGTCAAGGTCACAGTCTCACGTTCTCACATTCTTGTGAATGCGATATATCAAGAATGCCCAGAGGGAATTTCATCACCTCTGTCACACTGTGACCTCACAAAACCCATTATTGGCCATAGCTCACAAATTCATTCACTAATTATTACACAATTTAACTCAAATGTCTATAAAGATAAAATGAAATGATGACATTTCATATCCAAATGGTCAAAGGTCAACTTGACTGTGACAGTGCTGTAACTCAGGAAGGGGAGACTGTGACCATATTTCCTGTAACTTGGCTGGTTGGTGAAGCAAACAACCGTGAGACATTAATTGTAGTTTTATTTTATTTATAATTTTCTCCCAGAAATATCCGCACCATCCAGGGCAGAAGAAGAACAAGGTGGTGAAATATGGGATGGGAGGATTAATCATCTTCACTCTCATCAGCATCATCTGGTTCCCACTCCTCTTTATGTCACTGATCCAGTCTGCAGCTGGAGTGACCAATCAGCCGGTGGACGTCTCCATCCAGCTCAGCATCGCAGGATACGAGGTCAGGTTGGACACGAGTGCATTAATGTGTGATAACTTTCAACTTTCAGTCTTTGTGTGCTTATAAAAACACTGAAGCTAGCTGGTTGATAATATTCAAGACACACCGCCATTGTCAAATAGTCAAATACAGCTACCACAGCAAACACTTCCCTGCAGTACCATCGTTGTTTACACCAGTGATTACAGGTTTAACTGCCCACTAACTGTGCAGTTTACGCCTTAGTTGCTGGCCATCTTTAATGTGGACATATGTCTGTTTGTGTTTTCACAGCCTCTGTTCACCATGAGTGCCCAGGAGCAGAACTTGGTTCCATACAAAGAAACTGGATTCAACCAACTCACCAAAGTCTACGCTACTCATCCAGTACGATACATTTGATTTTACTGTGAACACCAAACTGAGACCAAATACAAAACAATTCACCAATTCACTTGTCTGAATCATAACGACTGGTTATGGTCATGAGGGCAAGTTTTAATTTATTCTCTACCACTTACCCTGAAAAGAGCAACAGGAACAGAAACACATATCAGTACCTTACTTATGTCACTGCAAAGCACATCACAGTGTTAAGCCAATGAAAGATTTTGTTTTAGGATTAAATTGTAATTGTAAAGATCATATTATTTATTGTGAAAAAAAGTGGTCAAAGCATTTATGAAAACAAATCAGAACATGCTAACACCCCATCATTGTTCATGGTCATGAAGTTAGTGTCTTTGTGTCTAATTTGAGTCAGATTACATTTTGGAAAACTAATCAGTTTTTAAATATCTTAAAGATAAAAGGAGGTGGAGGACTCCAGCAGAACCATCTTTGTATGAATGAATCGTTCATCTAGGCAAGAAAAATCATTCCGAATATGAGTGTAGTACCTGGTACTAAGATTTGCCTTTGACAATATCTGACAACACCACCTCCCGCTAAGGGGCATGAGGAACCCTTAAACCTTTAACATCTCCCGTACAAGTTGTGACCCACTCTGACTTCCCCGAACAGGAACAATTTACCAGAGGTGTATCTTGTGTAAAAGTTAAGTTGGTTTTATTACAATAGATAAATAAAATTTCCATAAAATATAGGGATGAGGCAATAAGAAACGAACAATTCCGCTGATGGTTCAATCAATCAGTTCTCTTCACAATAAGGGTCGGTCGGCTCTACACAGCAACAATAAAAATGACTGTGGGAGACAGAAGAGGGAGACAACAGAGATTACTACCACACACATGCACTGCACATTAAATAGCATTACACACTTAAACTCTATAGATTTATCGCAATGGAATACATGCAGTGTCACGACAACTATACACACCACTACAGAGTGTCACCCGTGCGGTCCCACCACAGGAAGGGGGCTGTGTGTTGATGCGGACCCGGCCTTTCACAAAGTCAAACTGTAGATACGAAGAGAACAAACATTAGCTTTCATCACCATCCAAAATGACTACCATGCAATACAGCAATCATGCTAGAAAATACTAAATGCGTCAAGCCTACAAATTAAAATAAACAACAAAAAAAAGCAAATTAACAGTAGAAAACAGTGGCTGGCCTGGTCTTTGCAAAGGTACACAAACTCCCATAATTAAATAATGCAGGAGTGAGGAGAAATCCAGTGCATCACAGTCTCTGTGCACCTCTGCCACAGTGGTCGTCAATGGCCACATCAATCCTGAACCTGACGGACAGGACCCTCGTGTCTGCCTGTCACCCCGTATGAGAGGGAGAGCCAAGTCGGGAGGAAAGGGGCTTTCCACTGAGGCAACCGGCGTTTTATCACTTCCTGATTGACACCCAGTCACATGACTGCAGACAACCAGTCATGTGACCAAGTGTCAATGACAAGTGTCACATTTTCCCACATGAGATAGGGCTGATAATTATTAGAGCCTAACTGATAACTCAGCCATGTCGACGTACCACCTGACTGATTATATTACACTGTATTATATTATATTATATTATATTATATCATATTATATTATATTATAATTTATACTAGAACTTGATTTGTTACTGCTGCAAAATAGACAATAAGACAAGTAGAACTTTGTACAGAGGATATTAAACATAAATAAAATGAAAAAAAATTTAATGAAAACCTTGTTTGTATTATTGGAAGACAGTAAATGTTTTTGTATGTACATACAGATTTTCTATCAGAGAATTTTTGTATTTGTTAAAATATGTATCTGTCATGAGCATGACTGTTCATTTAAACACTACATCATGTTGAGTCTAAAGCATCTCTTGTTCTTGCTGAGAGTACTGTGGAACTTGAAACAACTGTGGAAATCGATCACCCTTCTCTCTCTCTCTCTCTCTCTCTCTCTCTCTCTCTCTCTCCCAGTCTGCCATGCAGTTCATAATGAACTACTTTGCGGAGGACATTGTTGTTGCCAAGATCAAGAGTGATGCTAGTCTGCTGTGGAGCATCAGCCCAGCCAGTCGAGAGGCCATGATACAGGAGCTCAGCAACTCCTCCCACATATACATGACCTTACGCTGGACCCTGCTCAGGTCAGTGTGTGTGTCTGCTTGGATGGTGATTTTTTCTGTGCATGTGTTTCATAGTGCAGAGTCCAGTTTTCATGTCAAGTCAAGTCAATTTTTATTTGTATTGCGCCAGTTCATTCATTCATTCATTCATTCATTCACTTATTCAAAACATAAGTTATCTCAAGGCACTTTCCAAATAGAGGAGGTCTAGACCTTCTCTTCATAATATTATTTACAGAGACCCAACAATTCATGAGTGCTTTATGTGTAAATCCATGTGAACATACTGTAGATGCTACATGTTCTAGCTTACTGATACATGTATTTCTCTAAAATGTTAAGTGCTAAAACACATTTTCTTACTTGTTCTACTAGTTGTTCTGTTTTGTATTTTGGTCAGTCTGTTGGTGCTTTGTTGTTTTACATATCAAAGAAAGGAAAACTAATATTCTCAAAAGTACTTAAGATGAATGGTGAATGGATGTGAAAAGTTGGGAGTCTGTGTGTATGAATGTTTGCCTCGGTGCATTAAATGTGTGTCCATTTGTATATTGTCATATTCATTTCTTGGGTATTCAGAAATGTATCAACCCTGCTCATACTGTACGAGTCTGAATGTGGTGACAGCCAGTGCCACTGAAACAGATAGGTTCTTGTTAATTCTGATCTCTTAATGAAGCTGTAAAGTAACTACATTTTAAACTCCTTTGGCTGCATGTGGCACAGATGTACTAAGCTTTGAATAGACTTTGGCTCATGTGCTAGTAAACACAGCTCTCCTGCCCTCCTCAGGAACGCATCCATATCAATGAATGTAGAGAGTGTGGGAGAACACACTGTGAAGTTTGAGGACAAGGCCTTGATGGAAGGGATCGTCCACATGCTCAAAGGCAACAGCAGCAAACCTGTGTGAGTCTCAGTCTACATATACAATCAACTGATTTTTACTGTTGTGTCTTCTGCAATTTCTTTTGACTAAAGATGCTGATGCTAAAGAACAGTTTAAAGTAGCCAAACAATCAAAATGAACTCTAAAGTTTTAATTAGCATTAAACTATAAGAATTAAGATACTGTTTGTTATCAACTATTTCTTAACACTTTTATACAGTATGTGCTACATTGCACGTTTTCCGCATATTTTCTCCAGCTTTGTACTCAAAAGATGTAAAACTGTTATTCTATTGTAGGATCATTAACTCGCTTCTACCAAAGTTCATCAGGGGTCCCAAAGGACCAGAGTCCAAAATGGCAACCAGGATGAAAGTAGGTTAGTTACAGTTTATTTTACATTTACATGGCTAAAGATGTAAATTTGGTAAATTATACATTGGACTTATATACCTTATGCTCTCTTTCTATCTGTTTTTTTTTTAACTCTCTATCTGGGTATATCAGTGAAGTCTGAACTCCAGAAAGAATAAGCTGATCGGAGTGATCAGTCCTGTACATATCACTCCTGCAGTTTAATCTAACGCTGGCGTGTCTTCCCCCAGAGCACTCGGACCGCCCAGACCTCCAGGTGCTGGCTTTCTTCAGGCCCATGTCAGTCAAACTTCAACAGGTCAACAGGACGTCAGAGAAAGATGCAGACCAGTGGTGGGTGGTGGAGGAGTGCTCGCCAGTTCTCACCTCTGACTGTCACAGCATAGAGATAGTGGTGTTCAGTGATAAAGTCAGCCCCTCCAGTCTGGGCTTTCTGGCTGGACATGGGTAGGTTAACAAGACCTCTTTGATCTGCTCTCTGTCAGGAAATTGTTATTATGATTGTGGCTTGACTTGACTCCCCTTCTTTGCAGGTTTTAAGGAGACTAACACAGTAAAACTTGACTGCTGTTCTTTGCTGAGGTTTGAAAGTATTGTCCCTTCGGTAGCTCAAAGTGCTTAAACATTAATTTTCAAACACTCAACAGTACGTCTCGTTCCAGATATACCCTGACAGCTGATGATGATAATCCACACATCTAATTTTTTACTTTTGTACACCAGCGTCTTCCCTCTACATGATGACAGAAGACTAGTGCTTTTATTTTGGCAGAAAATAATCTCATAAACTTGATCACAGCAAGGTCTGTGGATTATCACAAGTAACTGTGTCCTTACATTTGGAAATAAAGTTTTTCAAATGTGATTTTTGTTTTACTCTGAGCATTTTAAACCAAAGTTGCTATGCACTGTATTGGGATGATCTACACCTGATATCGAATCTTTAAGCATAAGCAAATCATCAGCTGATTCTGTAGATAGCACAAAATGTGAGATTTTGGTTGAACTGTCCCTTTAATGTCACATCTGCACAGCTCAATGTCAACTGATCGAAAGGAAAAGTTAAGAAATATTGTTAAAATTTCAGTGAGATTTTAAAAGAACTGTTGTGTGCTCACAGACTTACTTGAACCTGTCCACTCTGCTCCTCACGACAGCATTGTAGGCCTGTACATGTCAGTGGTGCTGGTCATTGGAAAGTTCGTCAGGGAGTTCTTCAACGGGATCTCCAGGTCCATCATGTTTGAAGAGCTGCCATGTGTGGATCGGGTCCTGAAGCTCTGCACGGATATCTTTGTGGTCAGGGAGACTGGGGAAATGGAGCTGGAAGAGACGCTGTTTGAGAAACTCATCTTCCTCTACCGATCACCCGAGACAATGATCAAGATGACCAGAGAGAAGAAAGACAGCTAAGATTTGACAAGACGTCGTCTATTACAGGACGCTGAGAGTGCTATGCCACATTCCATGATCCAGTTGTAATCAGGAACCCTTTGCAAGATTTGAAACTATTTCTGACCCGGCTATTAATTGTGACCTCTGACCTGCGCAGACAGGTGCAGGTTTCACTTGTCTGAAATTTAGGTTAGTTAATTTATCTACATGTGTTCAGTTCCCTGCCAAAAATTAAAAAAGGACTTAAGGGCTTTATAAAGGCAAAAAAAATGAAACAATAACTAGCTCAACTGTAATACCAATTAATCTGGACTGCAGTTAAATGAATAAAGTGCCTGCTACATATTATTTGCTATTGTTGATGCCATTTTCTGCCCACTGGGTTATGCATGCATTTCTGATCATTTTGGATTGCGGTTTTTACTGGTGTGAAGAACACACAAGATCCTACTCCCTGATTTAGTTTCTTTCAGGAACAATGAAATTTCATCAAACCCTTGATGTATTCATGGATCAACACACACACCTCTGTAAATACCATGTTGATGTGTATGTCTATGTAGTACTAAGTTATTAAGATCAAAATAAAAAATGTAGTTAGACAAAATGTTTGTGTGTCAGCCTACAATGCTATCAATACTATATTCACCAACAAGGCAAGAATACAATGAAACAAATTGTACTTCTGATATTCATCTTTAATACAGTTTTAATTACAAATGAAAAGGAAAAACAGCAATTTCATCCAGGTCCACAGTCTACCAGGTCATCTTGATATCATCCATTTTTTTTTTTTTTTCTTCTCAATTGTCTGCAGGACAGGACAGTGACAGGACCTCACAACACCAGGAAAAACTAAATCATGGTCTCACATCCTGGAGGAAAAACAAAGTAGAAGAATGGAAACATTATTAAAAATGTATGAACATTTGTTTTACACCCCTAAAAGAACAAAACTCTGATATCACTGACTGCAGGTTCTGGAATAATCAACTTGGTCGGTAAACCTTTAACACCTGAAATGAAGAAAATATATAACTTTAGTGAGATGCAAAAATAAGTTATGACTAGTACATCATACATGTCGCCTCCCTGGTCTTAGCAATAACCAGGCTGTTTGACAGAGCACTGAAGGAAATGCAAAACAACCATTGCACCTTCAACATGTTTTCTGTCATGTCCCCCACATAAAGGCACCACCAGATACAGAAATTAAAGAGCAAAAAGTTTTAACCTTCTTTTTGAAAAATGCACTTTTGCATCTAAAAACACAAGGAGCTAAAAGTTTTTAAAAATGAAGTCTTCTTGTCTATTTATTTATTTATTTTGGATTGTTTCACCCAGGTGCAGCCCAGGGAAAGTGGGTGGGGTGGGAGGCTCTAGTATTGGAGGGCTCAATAAAAACCCTTGCTCAGGCAGCTGATGAATGCCCTGATGTAAATGGATCAATAGGAGCAGCATGTTTGTAATTTATGTTAAAAGAATCCATGTTTAATATTATAGATGTATGTAAAAACTGATGTTCCTTTTTTTGCTGCTGTTTTTTAACTTATCAACCCCCAATACTGGGAGAAAAATAATACACATTTGATCAATAAATAAATAAATAAATAAATAATAATTCTAAATATATTGATGACAAACTGGGTCTTGGGGTCATGCTCTAAACTGCTGGAGTCACCTCACTGGGAAACTCAGGTAGTGAATGCAAATTTTGTAGTTACTTGGTTGAGTATCGTGTATTAGGTTAGAAGGAGTTAAGTTTTATCAAAATACAGTGTGACGACACCTCCACCAGGGCACTAGGTGTCCCTGTTTCTTTTTGTTTTCCCTCTTCAGGTGCTGAATGCAGGGAATATCAATATAAATAGTAAATAGTAACCTACCTTGTCTAAATACACCAGGGATAGGTGAGCATGTATCAAAGAGTACTGAGAGTGTTTCATTCAAAACCTGCAACTGGTCAATTCAGAAACCAGAGATTTAACACAGGAGGAACTAACCACAGGCATCACTTGCTAAAGTATGTGACCACTGATGAAAAGTAACTAAACAGATTTACTCAAATGCCATCTAAAAGTATCATTATCTTTTAATATCAATGGTATTCTACACTTCTATTTGATTGCATTACATCAAAAATATAGTATGTATTTTACAATTACTTGAAAGTTTGAGTTATAAGTTACTTTGAAGATTAAGATTTTCTGTCTGTTTTTCTATATGTTGTAAAGACTTATTCCTAAATTATGTGACAACTAACGAAAAGCTTAACATTGTCACCACTGAATGTCACCACCGCTTCTCCTTCAAACACACCAACTGCCAGGGGCCATGATGACTTAATCTGCCGACATAGTTCAGTCTCTTGTAATTGCTTGTAACTTTCTGTATGAGGTGAACTCACGCTAGGCTGCTGGTTTGGGTTTGAGGACTTTGACGCTGGCTTCTGCGGCCTTCAGTGCCTCGGTTTTGAACTGCGGCTTCAGCGCAGCGCGCACCGCGCTAGCGCAGATAGCGGAGAAGCGGATGTAGCTGCAGAGAGGACACACTTGTTAGCCACATGCTAAAGGGCAAGCAACAAAGAGAATTATCACTCTGGAAAAGACAAGCATAGCTGCTTCTTTGATGACAATGATATATGCGATGCATTAGCACAAAGAGTAAAATCGTGGTCGGTTGGTGATGTTACCACTGTATGTTAAACACATGGGTTGAAAAGCTAACTCAGGCTAGAAACGTAGCTAGGTAGCTCTATAGCGAAAGAACGACAAATATTTTGTTAAACTATTCAGTTAACAAATCTTTATCAAGAACACCGTGATAAATAACGACCACAAAGCTAACTCGGAAGACATACAAATTCTGCATTTTATTACCTTAGGCCTGCCTGTCTCCAGTATGCGACCATCTTGCCTGTGTTGTGACTTCAAGGACAGGTCGGATATGTGCGTGATGACGACATTTGAGATACGCAGTGTTCTCTCCCGCCCAATAAGAACCATGCAGGATCATGATTGACAGCTTTGATGGTGACTTGTCCCGCCTCAAGACAACACCTTTAAAAAAAAAAAAAAAAAAAAAAAACTTTTAATATGTGCTTAAATGTCATGCAGTGGGATGATTGTAGTTGTTCCTTTAGGTACTATTGTAACAGAAATTGGAGTAAGCTACTTTTGCAACATTGAATGAATGTGACCACCACAAATAATTAACTAAAAAGTCAACTAGAAGGTCAAATAGCTTAACAAAAGCTTTGAAGCATAACGATATCATTGTCATTGTATGTAATTTTATGTAATTTATATTTTGGATGTTTGACTTGGGCTTTATCTGTTTGGTTTGGTGGTAGTATAATGTCACTAGTCACCTTGAGTCCTGCACATTTTTGCTGTCTTTACATTAAGCACCTCATTGGCATCACTTTGAATTAGGTTAAGAACTAAGAATGCCGATTTATACATTTTAGGAATGTAGATATAAACAGTATGTAAGGTATTTACTGATGAATTCCCTACTCCCTTGTCCCAATGTTTAAATACACAGAAACATTATGTTTATACAGTGATGTTGCATTTAACTTCATTGGCAGGATTTGTTGGGGAATATGAGAATTATTAGACAATAATGACGCCGAAAATTAGGCGGGGGTGATACTAAGCCTTACGACCGGGAGGACAGTCACCTTCCACTTGTGGCTGACTCCTAGGCCTACTTTCAGTCCTGACACATTAACCATATCTCGTCAGTAACACGAATTAACTTTTTTTTCCCATAGTAGAAGTAATGATGTCTGCACCAAAATCAGGTCGCCGCCTCCTTCCTCAGGCAGCTAGCTCGTTCGTATTCTTCTTCTTTGGCAATTTCGGATGGCTCTGCCTGATGCACGGATTACGATACAGCGCCACTACTTTGCCGTAGTGGCGTATAGCTGCAATTGCAGTTACAAACGTCAAATCCACCGATTACCGAGAAAACAAGTAGGCCTACTAGAATTGTGTCGGGAGGCGAAGTCGGCACGAAACTTGGAGACGCTTCGCAATTCTCTATGCAGGAAAAACCCTGTTGATGTTTGAGGGAGTTTGTACAGTTGCGAAGGGAAGAGAGCCTCCCATGACAAGCAGCTATTTTAAATCATAACAATTATAAATCATTATTATCATCACATGGTTATAATAATCATAATAAACAATATATTGTTTATATATTTAAGGGATATTATCATAAGCCTGAATGTAGAACAGGACAGAACAGAATGTAACATAGGCCTACTTCGTGACCAAAACCTGACCAAATTCCCCTTAATGTTTTTCACATTTATTTAAAGCTGATTATACAGCTTGTATCTGAAATACAAGCTGGTCTATTTGTTGTTTGGAAATACACAACAAACGGATTAATCCGATGATACACAGACCATTTACACAAGGATTATCAATCTCTTTACACAAACAATATTGAGACAAATCTACCTCCAGTCACATTTCACCGATTGGGCTTTTACAATGACAGCATTGCCTGAGATGTAAGAAATAAAAAAAATAAAAAATAAAAAATGTATTGTTCTGGATGTGGTGCAGCAGGGGTCTCTGCCACCAGGAGGCGGCTGGGTGCTGAGGCGCCATTAAAGCTTTTCTCCTTCGGCCCCTCCCTCCTCGCTCACTCCGGTCACGCTGTCACCAGTCGCCGGCTCCCGAGCCCTGACAGAAAAGCCTGTAAAAATGAAGATCTGGGCGTCAGAGCATGTTTTCAAGTGAGTAGTTTTCTATCTGCGCTGATGTTTTATATAAGTATGAGTTTTAAGTAACTGATGTCCTCTTGTATAACCAGTTTTTTGTTGTTCTCTTTACACTTCTCGGGTCCCAGCTGCTACCTCCTTAGCTGCTAATGCTTCACATAAGTTAGGTAACTATACACAAAGAGCATAAGTTACCTAACCCTTTGTCTTGTATGTTAGTTATCATCCTTAGTATAAATCCAAACTCCAGTCGCCATTACGTTTAAAGTTTCCTTGCAAAAATCTTAATTTGTCGGTCGGTTAGCTAAAAGTAAACCGTTTAAGCTACCTGAGTTTACTTTTAAGTTAGCCTTTTCCTGCTGGCCTTGAAGCTAACTTTGGCTAATCTGATGCTAGTTGCTCAGCCAAGTACATCATTTTGGATTTTGTAACGTATGGCAACATTTCAACCACAAGGTGATAAGAAGGGAAGTGCTTCGTGTGTTTCTCATGTACATTTGCCTTAATCTCGGAAACAAAATCTGCTGCTGAATGTGACATTATGTCCCGTGTTACATAACGGTCCGTCGGCCTGTCAGGCCATATACTCTGCGATTAAAGAAGTGGAGTGATCCGATTATTTTTCGCCTTATTGTTATTATTTTTCCTCCTCACTCTCAGTAATAATTATATTTTAACGTTAATTGGAACATATATTTTCATTTCCAGACGTTTCTGTATGAAACCATGATGATGATGTGCTGAGGGGGCGTTCCTCCTCCTACCGAGCTGCATAAGCAAATCATCAGCTGATACTGTAGCTGCACAGCCTTGTGGCTGATACAGCCATAAGGCTATGCAGCTCGTTAATTCGTTATCAGTTAAACCTATCATCCCCACGTTTTTTCTCATGAACTACTGCACTTAAACAAATGGAATCAAATGATTAAAGTCTGTCAAACATGTAAGAGTATCTTTACCTCTTCACTTACTATGATGCAGGTCCAGATGCGAAACAACATTTTACAACAACCAGCTAATGTTATTGTCACTGCTCTTTGTTTTTCACTGCTATTAAAACATACTCATTGCAGTGTGGAGTTTGTGTTTGCATGATAAAAATTGTTAAGAAAAACGTTTTGCTATGTATTCTTGTAATCTTTATAAGGATGTTCAAATTTACATGTACATTTGCATTCGCCCAGCATACCAAGTTTACCTACCTCAATGATGGAAATGGGAAATATATCAATCTGATTTTCAACATGTTTTTACATCATTCCAAAGCATTTTTGTTGGATGGTTTCAGAAATTAAAATCCAAAAAACAAAGACAAGATTTTCATCTACAGTCTCTTGCAAGAATGTTAAATGCTCTGTAGTAAAATGCTGCTTTCTAATATTAGTATTGGTTTTGACAGCCACCCATGGGAGACGGTGACCAAGGCCGCGATGCAGAAATACCCCAACCCTATGAACCCCAGTGTTTTTGGTGTGGATGTTCTGGACAGAACTGTGGACACAGAGGGACGGTTACACAGCACCAGACTGCTCAGCACAGAGTGGGGGCTGCCTGCCATGGCTAAGTCTGTAAGTTAGATAATGGAAGAAACACTTGAGTTTAAGGGATGTTTTATGTTGATTGATCATGTTAAATTGGTTTTCTTAATCCCAAACCTGAGTTGTGCCCTTTTCCTGCAGATCATTGGGGTAACAAGAACATGCACTTATGTTCAGGAGCATTCGGTAGTGGACCCTAAAGAGAAGTCCTTTGAGCTGAAATCTACAAATGTGAGTAGTGATGACATATGGTATCACAGTTGATGAGAACACTTTCAGCAAGAACTCTTGTTGCTTCACACTGACATGAAGTAATACATAATAATATTTCACTGTTTAGCTGCCGTGACTCAAGTATTCATTAGGACAGAAAAGTAAAACAGATTATTTTCTCTCATGATAATATATATATATATAAAATAATAATATTTAGTTTTAGGGCTGCACGATATGAAAAAAAATCATAGTGCGATTATTTTGGCAGATATTGCGATTTCAGCTGGAGTAATTGTTTTTGCATTTCATCACCACTGAAAAAAATGATGTGATTTTTGTTGGTCTTGTACCAAACTAACATGTTCCTTTACGTCTGCAGAACAGGATTTGTAGGCTGTGGCGTCTCTGTAGCAACACAACACTTATGGTGCTAACAATGCACAATGATTTGACATATTTTACCTTCATCAAAAAATTGTAGCTAAATTTGGAATGGGGCCCACTTTCTGTAGGTGGATCAAAGTCCTATATTCAATGCCTCTGGCTACAGTCAGGACAAATGGCCTGATCTTGGAATATTTTTCGCTCTACAGAGGTACAAGGCAGGGTTGCTGTCTGTCACCCTTCCTGTTTGACATTGCGATCGAACCACTGGCAATTGCTATTAGATCAGTTGGCAGGATTAAGAGTATATCCAGGGGTGAAACAAACCATAAAACTTTGCTTTATGCTGATGATCTGCTTTTGCAAATATCAGACCCAATTGAGAGCATGCCCTACCTTCTCCACTGGCTGCAAAAATTCAGTAGCATATGAGGGTATAAAGTTAATTTGTCAAAATCTTTATTATTTCCATTGAATAATCTGGCAAAACAGATCACTTATGAAAATTTGCCTTTTAAAATGAAAATGACAAATTTACTTATCTGGGAATAGAAATAGCAGGTTCAATTAAGGCTATTTTTCAGTATAACTACAGGTCTATTTTAGACCGTACCAAAACTGATTTGGATAGGTGGTCGAAACTTCCATTCTCACTGGCAGGACGGATAAATGCAGTGAAGACGACTGTAATGCCCAGGTTTCTTTATTTATTCCAAATGATTCCCATTTTTCTCCCAAAATCGTATTTTGCTCAGCTGGATCGCTTTATCTCTTCGTTCATATGGAATAAAAAACCTGCACATATAAAGAAGGCAAGCCTGGAGAGAGTTAAATCTGATGGTGGTTTGGGTTTACCTAATTTTTTATTTTATTATTGGGCAGCTAATATTGTCAAGCTGACATATTGGATCACCATGTTTGCAGATAAGGAGGGTCCGGTCTGGGCTGATATGGAACTGAGAGCTACACTCCCAGTTTCTCCGATTTCAATCTTAACCGCCCCTCTCCCACTAAATATCAAAGCACCTGAACTGAACTCAAATTTGGTGGTCCAAAATTCGATTAAGATCTGGGGTCAGTTCAGAAAACATTTTAATTTGACAAATATATGTAGCTTCTCTCCAATAATGTTTAATCATCTTTTTGCACCATCTCAAATAGATCAGGCATTTGCAGTTTGGCACAGAAGTGGCTTGGTCTACTTTCAAGATCTCTTACCGATGATGGCTTTGCATCATTTAAATTTCTATGTGAAGATCATAATTTACCAAAGTCTCATTACTTGAGATATCTTCAGGTTCAGAGTTTTGCCTCTAAATTTTTCCCAGGGTATCCATCTCCACTCTCTAAAGACCTACAGTATTTAGTCCTTAATGTAAATCCACTCAATAAAAGAGCAGTATCAAAAATATATGCATTAATTCTGGATAGTTGCCCTCATACGTGGGACAAAATCAAGGCAGCATGGGAAGGAGAAGTTGGAGAAATAATACCGGAAGACACCTGGAAAAATACCATACAGCGTATACACAAATCTTCTCTTTGTATCAGACATTGCTTGATTCAGTTTAAGGTTGTACACAGGTTGCATTATTCTAATGACAGACTGTCTAAATTATACCCTAATGTTGCACCAAACTGTCCTAGATTTCAATATTCTCCTGTTTCTTTGGGACACATGTTTTGGTCATGTCCGTCTTTGTATGGTTTCTGGTCTTCAATCTTCCGGTTGCTCTCAGCGATACCTGGCAAAACACTGCAGCCTGACCCTTTGATAGCTATCTTCAGTGTAGCTAGTGATGAGCTAAAGTTGTCCTGCCTCCACAAAAATGCAATTGCCTTTGCATTGTTGCATGTCTGATACTGCTGAACTGGAAGGGGAAGAACCCTCCTGCCTATGTTCATTGGATTAGAGAGGTGATGTTGGGATTGGCTCTGGAAAAAAAAAGTAGGTATACAGTGCACGGGTTGGAGGATAAATATGACAGAACCTGGTCACAGTTCATAACTCATATCAAGAGCCTGCCTTTTGCCTGACTCCTTGTCTTTATTTATTAATTAATTAATTTTTCTTTCTTTCTTTCTCTTTGACTGCCATCCTTGTCTTCTCAATGCCCATATTCTGACTGTTGGGACTTTTTTCTTTTTTCTTATGCAAGAGGCCCAGAATGTTGGTGTTATGACCATAATGATCAACACAGATTAGTTTGAGTCTTTTTTGTCTGTGTCTGTGTTTTTTGTATTTGTGTATATTTGTTTTCTTCTTTTGGTGTTCTGTTTGCCCGTTTGATACATGAGTGTTTATGTAGATGTGTTTGTGGGGATGCCACCTGGATGGGGTGGGGGGTGGTTTCACAACTTTTGTAAGAAATGCTTAACTAATGATGTCAATATTTTCGATATGGAAAAATGATAAAGTTGTAAAAAAAATAATAATAATTTGCAGCTCCTGCAGTTTGGATATTGCACTTGGCCATATTGCAATTTCGATTATATTTTGATTAATTAAAGCTCTAATATATATTTACCTACACTGCACTTCTGTTTGGCAGAGGTTCAATATGTGTGTTAATGTTATTTGTTTCCTAAACATAGCCTTGACTTGTGGCAGAGAACTCTGAAGATATTCATCATCTTGGGGCATATTTAGAACACAGGTGTATTTAAAACATGCTCTTTCAACACAGGTGTAACTTATAACATGAATAATTGCTGCTTACCAGTTGGAACTATGATCTATGTTGTTATATGTTCACCATGAGAGAGGTCTTTCAGAGCAATTGTATCAGTGTCTGGGCTTTAAGGCCCTTTCCTATCTGTTCTCTCCTGCAGTTCCTGTTAAATTAACTGAAATTCCTGTAGACAATGTAAACATTATGTATGATGTAAAAAGACCAATGCCAACTTTATTTTGTCCATCCAGATCTCCTTCACTAACCTGGTATCTGTGGACGAGAAATTGACATACAAGCCACATCCACAGGACCCTGAAAAGTAAATGATTTCATATTGAATATAATTCAAGTGAAGTCAGGTTAGATTGAAAGATTATTTAAAAAAAAAATCAGTTTATACAAACATATAAAAGCCACAACTTACCATTGTGTCAGGTTTACCTTTTTATTTCTGTTTGTCAGGACAGTGCTGACACAAGAAGCTCTGATCAGTGTGAAAGGTATCAGTCTGAGCAGCTACCTCGAGGGACTCATGGCCAAGACCATCTCTGTCAACGCCAGCAAGGTGACTTAAAATCTTTTTATAAATCGCTGAAAATCTCCCAATAACTCATCATGACAGTATGGCCCAACAATACACCTGTCACTGCCACATTATATGTAGTAACACCTTTGTTTGTCTCAGGGTCGGGAGGCGATGGAGTGGGTCATCAGACGATTAAACACAGAAATTGAGGAGTTGGCAGCGACCGCCCGTGGTACGATGCGTGTTCCCATGGCAGCGGCTGTTGCAGACAAATGATCCCGGCCTACTCTACTGCTTCCTCCATCATCATCATGAAGCGATGGACTTCTCAGACTTTTCCCCTCAAAGGGGACCTCTCATCTGCCAGCACAGCCTAATAACCACAGCCCCATCCTGGTATGTTTGTTTTTGTTGTCACAAGAACCCGCTGTTCGTCCCTCCTCAGCAGTTTGCACAGACGAGTGTGATACTTGTCTCTGTGGGCATTGACCTGAGTGTTGAGCTGATGACAGTTTAAAACATAAAAAAACAAACTGGGTTGAATTGGACTGCACTTGAAGCTCATAGGACTCAGTCTTGTGATGTTAAAGCTCTTATTTGAAAATTCACACTGTGCCTCCACATCATCTCATCAATTTAATTTCCTCTTTTCTAACCTTTCTCCCCTTTATCCTCAAATTTTCATCTCTCTCTAATCTTCTCTTTTTATTGTTTCTAAATCCTTGTAAACAAGTTGAGCACTGGTAACAGCTGAAATGAAGCCACTTTCACTAACCTTTTCTGGCCAGCCTTTCTTTGTACAGCAGAACTGACCAAAATATCTCAAAACCAAAACCCACCAATGCATACAAGCTGTACCAAATAATTTAGACTATGTGTTACAAATGGCATCAGCTGTCTGTCTTGTGATACTGAAGCAGCAGTTTTTTTTAGGTCATATACTAAGCAACCTATAACCTTGAGAGATTTTTTTTAAATGCCAGGATTTTAGTATTTCTGTCATGGTGCAAGAATCCAAACAAGGCAACTTCCCCAGAAACATCTGTCCTCTTGTTGTCTGAACAGTTTATTTATAATAAAGACTGGCACAGCTCAGAGTCTTGACAGCCAGATCTGTGCAGGTTAAGTGACCAGACAGGAAAACTACTTTGTGGGTGCACTTGCATGGTGCTGAAACACAAATGGTGCCTGTCCAAAGTGGAAAAGGGAGTTTTAGCTTAATTTAACTTTTGTACCTTTGATGTAGATGCAGGTCTGCCTGCTAAAGCTGTCGGCACTGTGCACTGGTCCTCGGAGGTTGTAGTCTCCTCTGGTCATTCTGATCTAGTTTTGGCAAAATGACTTGATAACTTTGAGTTTTCCTTGTCTTTGTCAGTCTTTTCTCTTACATTGATGATGTGCTGTAGTTAAGTGTTACAGATTAAGAACGTGCATACATGAACATAAATGTTAACTTAAACTCAGCATAATTTTTCTTTTTAAAGGGTTAGAGCTGAAGCAACATGTTGGCATTCACCACAGTGTTTGTGTTGTGAACGCTCACCAGTGTTTTAGGGGGAGCACTACAGGGTTACGTTCAGAATCCTTCCCAACATGAAATGTAAAGCTAGAAATAACTGTACCAATTTAGTGCCCCAAAACACTTAGACACCATATTTATGATGCTATTATTTATGAACAAAGCCACTCTGTATGCGCTGACCATTTCTTTTATACTGTCTATAGATACCATATTTATGGTATATTTGTATTGGTGAACATTGACAAAGGCTGTATAATTGTTTGATTTTTAAAAGCTGTTAGCTTGTGGTGTTTTGCAAGTGGCAGTGCAGTTTTGATACTACATTTTCAAGGCATATTCCATGGAAGAATCTGACATGCAACATTATTGAGTTGTAGGTGACATCATAACCCTTTACCTCTCCACTTCTTCCTCTTTTCTTCGCTCTAGACATTGTAATAAGGACAGTTGTACAAATTAAAGTTTACTTTGAAGAGGTTTGTGGTAGAACTGTTTTTCACTGAAGCTCAGCAGCATCACAAGTCTTCCAAGATGCTCCACATTCAGTATCGTGCTCCACTGTCATGCTGTCAGTCAGTTCAGTTTTTTTCACACTTGCTTCCAGTTCAACTGATTTTTTTTTTTTTAACCGCATCTTTCATAATTAATTCTGCATCCCATCATTCATAGTGCAGTTCAGGATCATTCTGTTTAAGGTCTGGTCTACTGCAATCAGCCAGTCGGTATCCACACAGCATCTCGTTTCATGAATGAAGTGTGATGTTTTTCTATGGGGCATATTTTAAGAAGAAGTGGCTGTAAATAGGCTTATATTTATATTTTGGTTGTTACATTCCAAGAATGTGAACATGTAACAGAATCTGAAGAGTGCACACTGAAATGTTTCAAAATAAAGAGATGTCACTGTTTCATGAATATGGTGGTGATGAATTGGTTTGTAAAACATCTTGACTTCCTCTCAAACTGTTGTACAAAGATGGGCATTGCAAGGCAAGTTCACTTGGTAATAGGGGTCTGTTGCATTTCTTTAATTAGCCTCAGATCTTTCATTTTAGTGATTTTACCTCTTTTTTTACTTTTAGTTAAATATTATTATAAGAACTTGACTCTCTCCAGAATTCACCTATATTGGGTATTTACTGTACATGGATTTGTATCTGAGAGATGTATCAGAAACAGAGGAAATTTTATATTAACAATACCAGTAAATTGGTTAAGTGAATATAAACCCAAATAATTCTATCCCTGGAAGTCAGAGATTGTTTTAAATGAAAGTTAATTTGCGTTTGAATTGCAGTCCACATGTAGTATTACTTTCTAGCCAAGTAAAACCCTATCCCCTCCATTATTTTGTGTGCCTCTGTAGAGTGTGTGCTATCTGTGTATATTTTTTTGAAAATGTGGTGACCCCTGGTGGTAGTATAAAAATGGCACACTGCTGTAAAACTGGTGTTGTCTTATTTTTCTACAACTTAAAATATAAGAAGAAATCATACAGTTACTTGAAAAATCAATAGTATTGGAAACCAGTGGTGGAGGGTAAAGTACATTTATTTACAATAAGATGTTCAGGTACTTATACTTGACTAATTCTGTTTCATTACATTTTGGAGGCTAATGTACTTTAAAATCATTAATACAAAATATTATGAACTAATACATTATGTATTGTAATAGATTAAGCTCTCCAGAAGTATGTAACGTAGGTACACTTAGCTCCACCTTCACCAGGTGCAACAGTAAAGTAATGCATACACATTAATGCAGCCCTAATTAGGGTTCATGGATGTACACCGATCCTACCCATAACATTATGTCCACCTGCCTAATATTGCGTAAGTCCCCCTTTTGCCGCCAAAACAGCTCTGACTTGTCGAGGTATGGACTCCACAAGACCTCTGAAGGTGTGCTCTGGTATCTGGCACCAAGACGTTAGCAGCAGATCCTTTAAAGGGGACATATTATGCAAAATGCACTTTACCATGGATTTCTAACATTAATGTGTGTCCCCGGCCTGTCTACAAACCCCCCAAACATGAGAAAAGTCCATCCTCTCCGTCTTTTGCTTGCTCCCACTTTCAGAAAAAGTGTGCTCACACAGGCCAATTGGAGATTTTCCCTTGATGTCGTCATGAAGGGAGATGACACCTCCCCCAGGTGGGTGACACTCCCCGAGCTAGGTGTGTGTTCTGCCCTCTGAGTCCGCCTTGCAGCCGCTATAGTTTAAAACTGTGTCGAAGGTACGAGCGATGCACGCTAGTTGCTCGGTTGTTGACTTTACAAACCAACACGGAAGTCTTTTTACCCCCTACATCTGAGGATCTGAAGACCCAGTGGATTTGTTTTACTTTATTTTTGGTGGAAATGTCCCCGCTACAACACAACCATCTCATTTCTGACTGCTTTCTCAACGAGGGCCAGTACAATGCGGGATTCGCTACATTCTGAAGACAAAGCATGAATCTGCACCGACTGTCCGAGACCCAACTTCAAACTTGGGAGCTGTAAGTTTTACCATTTTATGTTGCTTTACTGTATGTACATGAGAGCCTGTTGCGTGTGTTGTTAGCATGGCAGCTAATGTGGCTAAAGTTTTGCCTCGTCCACACAGCCGGGTATAGCCGGGTATAGATTGTATGCAATTCTGCTGCTTGGTATCGCTGTGTGACGTTGATTAGAGCCAACCTGCTAACTTTATCACACTTGAAAGGTGTTTTAGCTGTCTGTAAAATGAAGCCGGTAAAATTCAGACTAAACAAGCTTTGCAGCGATTAGCATAGGTGTCTGGGCTTGTTTGTTAGTGCTGTGAAAGTTATTATTGAGAGTCATGCCTTATGATGGCTGTTTTAACGTTTATATCATGTTTACAGATACAGTGCCTGTGGGGAATATCTAGATAAGCACAGAGTTACAGGGAACATGTGAAAGGGGATAGTCTGTAATACACATTTTTTGGATTTTACACATATAGTGAGCTATTTGCAGCATTTACGAGCTATTGACAACCCAATTTACACATAATTTAGTGCATTTGTTGTTATCATTTTTGCACTGCTTGCAGCTGTTGCCATAACTACACATTTGAGGAGATGTTGGTGTAACCTCTGTTTCCTCTGTTCAGGCCAGCACATCAAGTGCATCTATACAGCTTCCTGCAACAAGGGATGTTGCATGCCAGACTGACCCACTGTAGGCACACAGTTATCCTTGAGGACTCTTCAGCCTCACATCAGAAGTACAGGTCTGTAGCCATCTGAAGTGCATCTACTTTTGATAAACCTAACAGTCATTTATCAGTCTTGGAATGCTGTGCAGGTAAATGAAGCTGTGGTTACTTAGAGCTTGTGAGAGTGTGGAGGCTAAGGTTTCTGTCAACATTAACATCTTTGATTTTGTCTTTACTGTACCTCCAGACTCTACCTGGCTGCCATGTACTACAATGAAAATGCTGACCGACCACAAGCCCAAACAAAAGAAGGTGAACCACTGTTCAAGGTCCAATTTCCAAAGGCCATGAAGGGAGAATGCAGAGCTACACCAGTTAAGACTGAGCTGACATTCTGTAAGTGTTATATTATTTTATTTTTCAACCAAAAATGTTTTGTACACATTGTATTAAGTATTGCACGTATAATGTTATGACAGTTCCACCAACAACAAAATACAGTAAAGGAAATGTCAGGAGGTAGTTAGAAACAGACTTTCAGTCATTGTTTTGTAAAAAAAAATAAATAAATAAAAAAAAAAAAAGGAAACAAAATCTTTTGTGTTTTATCAAACAGGGAATGTGGTGGACCTCATATTTGAAAATGTCTTTGTTGACCTGGGACCATACACAGAAGCTGCTTTGGCCATCCCCATCCCAGAGGACCTCACTGCACAGTTCGAGGCGGCCTGAAAAGGAGTAGGTCATATCCAGCTATGTGCCCCGGTTCTATCATGGGCCAGTCTAAAACCCACGTACTGGGGCCTGTGGCGTCAGGAAACTCGGCACTGATGCGTAGGACCAGGCAGGCTGGAATGACGACCACAGATTCTGTGACCAAGGAAGCCCCAGCACCAGCCATAAAGCTCCTATAGGCTAGAACTGTACCGACTAAAACAACTGGACAGGGCATTTAGTCTTGCAAACATATATCTATGTTGTGTCTCACAATTTTTAATATGGATCCAGTGAATCCTACAGCTTTTTTTATTATCACTGATTATAAGTGCCTCCATTTGATGTAAATAATGCTTGTGATCGTTACTAAGAAATGACTCCTCTGAATTCATATATTATATGCACAGTATCTGCTGATAGGAAAACTTTACAAATCAAAAGAGCAGCCAAACTAATTTATTTGAGGGTGTGTTACTCCATTTGTGGTGTGTTATTACCATTGTAAAATGTGCACTGAAGTAAAACAGAACTGCCTAACATCTTTTATTTAGATTGAAACTATATGTTTTTACAAAGAAGCAAAACGTACTGGTGTATTCTCTCCAACCATAAAGTACCATAGTCAGCGCAGTATATGTTCCAGGCATTCTGGAGGGAGTACACATTGAGGCAGACCGGCTCCAACCCAGGACGGCCTACCATACATGGTAATTCTTCCTCGATCTCCCATAGCCGTCTGGTAACCTACAGTGAATTACAAATGGTAAATGCTATGGTTTATTATAAATGTAATGTAATCAAAACAAATTACTGATTAGTTTGTCTGGTGAGAATGCTACCTGTGGTATCTCCTAGCAGCAGATATTCTCAGCTTCTGTGGGCATGGTTGCACAGGTTCCACAGGAGCACCTATCCAAAATATCAGAGAAAAATGGTAACATTCACCAGAATATAAAGCTTATGAAATTCAAAAACTGACAGACAGTGGAGCTAAGGTGGGTAAGAAGTAAGCTTGGCTACATATGAAGCGCATATAACATGGGCCATTTATAACATGTCACTTATTGCATATAATGTGGAGCTTGACAACAGTGTAGTGTAGAAAACACTGCACAGCCTCGTCTTTGATTAAAGATTAATGTTGCTGTCAGACATGTTTATGCTGATTTACAGCTTTTATTGTAATGCAAAAAATAAATTTACTACATAAAGGAAGATGTCATGATGAGCATCGCTGCTCAAAACATGGATAAAAATTAATAAAATAAAAATGATTTACTTGTCAGCATCTATTAAAGTATCTTACTAGTCTTGACATTGGACACCTGTAGCAGTCCTCAGTCAACAAACATTTTCATAGACTGTAAAAGTATATCTAAGGAGGCATGACAGATAACTACATTACACAATTCACAATAGTGCTTATTTACCAAAAGAGCTCCCAGTAATGACGAGACAGTAACAGTTAGCATTAGCTACCTAGCTACATGTTAGTAACTGTGTGTCAGCACACATCAACAAACAAAAAATGTAAAGTCAAAATACACAAAATTGGTTACCAACCATTCAGAAACGTCCTGCTGCAGTTGTAGAGTTTGAACTTCTTCAGCAGCCATTCCCTCTGGGTCAGATTCTGGATAAAAGTCGTGTGGTTGAACCAAAGCGCTTCTGACTCCAGGTCGCCGGTCACGGTCACCGTAAACATTACAGCACGGTGCCAGAAGTCCAAGCCGCATTCCCTTCCGGAGAGGGGCGTGGTCAGGCACAGCTCATTTGCATTTAAAGCTCCAGACACAAAACCAGCCTGTTCTGAACAGGGCTGAAAAAGAGGGGTTTACAGGCATGCTGAAATATAGGATCGGAGTGGATTTTTTAGCAAGAAACTTCAAAGACATGTTTAGGGGACCTCTGAGAGATATGTCCCCTTTAAGTCCTATAAGTTGCAAGGTGGGGCCTCCATCGATCAGACTTGTTTGTCCAGCACATCCCACAGAAGCTCGATTGGATTGAGATCTGGGGAATTTGGAGGCCAAGTCAACACCTTGAACTTGTGTTCCTCAAACCAACCATTCCTGAAGCATTGTTTTATTGTGGCAGGAGCATTCTCCTGCTGAAAGAGGCCACTGCCATTAGGGAATACTGTTTCCATGAAGGAGTCTACTTGGTCTGCAGCAATGTTTAGGTAACTGGTACGTGTCAAAGTAACATCCACATCAATGGCAGGACCCAAGGTTTCCCAGCAGAACATCGCTCAAAGCATCACACTCACTTTTTGCCTTTTTCCCATAGTGCATCATGGTGACATCTCATTCCCAGCATTCATTATAATAAGATAATCAATGTAATTTACTTCACCTGTCAGTGGTCATAATGCCATGGCAGGTCGGTGTGTGTCATTCTGAAATGGGCCATTCTGCATAGTGAGTATTTTTGGTCTTAACATGTTTACATCAATCAGACAGTGAAAAATATTTCATTATATATATATATATAATTTTATTTATCATGTAGGAAGAAAAAAAAAGATCAGCTGTATACACACAAGTGTTGGTGTTGAACTGTAGGCTTTATCAGTGTTGATTTGACATGATGGTTGTGCATGTGTTAATATTAAATATAGACATTTTGATTATCTACTGTGTAGCAAGGTTTCTTAACCATTTCCAGAAGAGGTCACTTTATCTTTAACACAATCAGTGCTTTTGTCATTTGGTATCAAGCATAGCAAAATCCCATCCATTGACTGGTTTAAAGTTTAATAATCTGAAGTGAGCTGAAGACCATCATGTTTGGTGAACCAGAGTTACACAGGCCCATCTCTCTGTCGGTTGAAGCGTCGATCTGTTAGCAACACCTCAGCATCTGAAAAGAGGGCTACAAACCCCTGTTAAGAACAAAGACAATCATCAGCTCAAAGACAGTTTCTACTCTTGGTTAAAATTTGCTCCAAAGTCTTCATTGTTTTTTTTACTAATACTGACCTCCTGCATCTTCAGGACTGAGTTGACCAGCTGTGCATGTTTCATTCTGGGTAAATCAAAACCTTTGCCCAGTTTCTCTGAAACAGCAAAGTGAAAGTCAACATAAGGACAATGTATAGTGCACATTATACAATACATTTTCATTTACTGTAGCTGTCCACCAATATGGCAACAGTAAAGTAATGAATAAGCATTAATGAAGTGCAATGCTTCATGATCATACTCTGAAGGAAAAGTTGCTTCTGTGTTGCTCTAGTTGATAATGATGACGATAAAGGATGGGAAAGCTTAACTCTCTGAGGTCAACGGATGTTTCTAATACAACATTGAAATATGGTTTAAATGTGAACATCTGCAGACTCTCCACTTTCCGTTTCATATTGTTGCAAGATTGTAAATGACTCAAAGCCGGAGCTACAAGGCCTTGAAGCAGGCCTCTAAAATTTCTCATTTTAGGCATTTATTATCCATTTATCCACTATTTCACTTATATATTGCACTATTTTTTATGAACCTAAGACTTTGGTAAACAAATTTCAATTCATCCACATCAATAAAGGTTTGTTTTCACGAGTGATTTGGAGAATTTCAAAAACTGGGCTTCAATTTTCAGCATTTGGGCCAAATTAACTTTTTGCACAGTGCAAAGAGGGTCATAAAAGGGGCGTCATTATAGAAAGGGCTGAGATAGTTCTGTAAATTGTGATATAAACACGTGGGTATTATGTGATATGCAACTCTTTAAAAGGTGAATTTAAGAAATAATGTAGAAATTAAGAAAATACCCTCAGACCTCAGAGAGATAAGATGAAAGATGAGTTTATATAGAATATTGGTCGGTTGGACTGAAGAAGAAAACAGTCATGAAGTGAGACGTGAACACACAAAAAAATGAAAAATATAAATAAGACTCACGATTCACTTTTGCCAAGGCAAAATTAATTCCCATCTTCGCCATTATTTCCAAAGCATCAGTCTGAAGAGACAAACGTCATTTTTTACAGTCTCACATTAACATAAAATGTGATGCAGCATTTGAAATGTGTCACGTACCTGAAAGGGTCCCACTTCACTTCCTGCCAACATCAGTGTAAAACTGTTTGAGAGAACACAGCATAATTACTTTGTGTTTGCGTTTGTGAAGGCTCAGATGTGTGTTTTAAAATGCTAATGCTCACTTGTCCATAGAAACTGAACCTTTCGCTCTTCCACCAGAAATCCACACTTTACTGATGAATTTTGAGTCCTGGAAGAACAAAAAGGTGTGAATTGGAGCTGCGACCAACAGTTATTGTAATCATGAGAAATTTTTCTGTTATTTTTCTAAGTGTTTATACTACAAAATGTCAGAAACACCCATTGAGTGTAAATTGAGGCTTAAACCCAAAAGATATTCAGTTTACAGTGATAAAATAACAGAAAAGAAGCAAATTCTAATGAGAAGCTTCAACCACAGAATGTTTGCATTTGACTTAAACTATTAATCACCAATCAAAATAGTTGTCCATTAATTTTCTATTATTGACTAATACATTGACAAATCCTGGTGAATCATGTATCAAATGATTTTTTGCGTAATAATATTTTCTCTACAAAATATAATTTATGTGCTTGTACATAAATCTTTTTCTGTGGTCAACATGTCCCATGAGACTCAACTATAAAACCACACTGTGCAGCTGTTGTACAAGATGTGCATGTACTTCAACAAACACTTGCATGTATTCATCCTGGGGTATATTGACAGGCCAGAAAAGAAAAGTTACTCACAACATTGAGTTTGAACAGTGGGGTCTGGGTACCATTTGGCTGGATGGCGAAGGCTTTTACAGCGACCTGGAAGTCCACTTTAACAGCATCAGGCTGGAAGGAAAACATTGGAACCTCTGTGGCATAAACCTGCAGATCCATCAGCAGACCAGGAAACATCTTGGGAAGCTACAGAGAGAGAGAGAGAGAGAGAGAGAAGTTGATGGTAAATATTTAATGATTAAATATTCTGTTGACTTCATCAACACTGCCATGTAAAGAGGAGCAGGGAAATTGGAGATGGGAGAGATGGGATCCTTTGATGCATGATAAATGTAATAAATGCATCACAATACTCAATTAAATAGACTCCACAGGATTCTGTGTCAGGATGTTTAAAATAGATACTGTATGCATGTATCCCTGAAGCCTAAATGATACATCTGGATAATAGAACTTGGCTGAACGCCTGGTAAGTGTGACTATAAATAGTCTGGTGTATATGCGATTTGCCTCTATGGTCCCTCATTGAGCCACAGATGTTTAAACAGACACATCTCTATAGACATTCTTCTCAACCCCCTGCTGTTTCTATTAAAGTTGGTTTGCTCTTTAAAAATTCTTCCTCTGTAGATTTAGATGTCTCTTCATTGTTGAATGTAGCGGACACTCCAGTTGAACAAATCTGTTTTGCTGTTTCTCATAAGAAAAATAACAAAGCTAATCGTGTTTTGTTCCAACAAGATGCAGTCTAAATCTGTTTCCAATATTTGCTGGATGCTGCTGCATAGATTCCAGATTAATTACAAAATAAAAGAGATTTCCTTTAAATTATTACACAGATTGTATCCTACAAGTCAGAACCTGACAAGATTTGTAGAAACGATGAACCCCAGTTGTATTTTTTGCAAAACTCAAACTGAGACTGTCAAAAATTTATTTTGGGATGACATTTTTCCAGAAATCTTTGGAATGAACTAACTGTTTTTTTATGTCCAAAGTTTGTAATACTTTTTTTCCCTTAAATGGGGATATGTGGGCTATTGTTTGGTTTCCATGACCCAAATATGGAAGGTGATAATAATTTTTATTTGATAATCCTTGTTTGTTTGTTTGTTTGTGTAGTGACTAACCTTTTCAAAGAAAAGCTCACTTCTCATGTTGACAGATCTATCATTCAGAAATGCACATTTTTAAACGAGTTTTATCATGAAATTTAACTTGTGGGCTAATCTATCTGCGATGCCACGTGTCTGTCTCTTCATCTCTTTTCATGGCTGTGAACCATTAAACCTATCATGTTTCTGGATGTCACACCGTACACAGCAGTTTCTGTCTCAAGCGATATGATGCCATATGCTGTACAGGGTGAGGACTGCTCCCATGAATGCTGCTCCTCTAACTACTGTTGACACTGTGCTGGACTATGGCTACTTCAGCGACAGCAGCTCTGATTGTGGCCTGAGGCAATAAGATAGTAGAAGTAAAATGTTCCTTTGGGTTAAACCACTGAAAACAGTTCAAACATACAGTTGCAAGAAAAAGTCAGGGAACCCTTTGGAATGAGCTGGTTTTCTGCACTGACTTGTCTTAACATGTCATCTGATCTTCAACTAAGTCACAAATGTCCCTAAACTAATATAACACAAACAATTATAATGTTTTGTGCCTTTATTGAATACATCCATTAAACATTTATAGTGGTGGTGGAAACAGTGAGTGAACCCTTGGATTTAAAGTGGAGTTTAAAGTGGTTGAACCTCATTTGGCTCCAATAACCTCAAACCAGCTCTTCCAGTAGCTGCTGATCAGACCTGCTCAATGTTCAGGAGGAAGTTTGGATCATTCTTCCTTATAGAGCTACTCCAGCTCAGAGATATTCTTAAGATGTTTGGTTTGCATGTTTCTCTTCAGCTCAGTCCACAGCATCTCTACTGGGTTAAGATCTGGGCTCTGACTGGACCACTCCAGATGGTGGATTTTCTGAAATCATTCTGTAGTCGATTTTCTTCTATGTTTAGGGTCATTGTTCTGCTGCATCACTCAGCTTCTCTTGATCTTCAGCAGACGAACCAGATCTTCAAATCATCATAATCATCATCATCATCTTCACCATTATCAGTAGCAACAGCAACATGAACAGAGATATGGAGTCTTTACTGACTGAAGTCACTGCTGCCTTATACCAGTTGGACCACTCACTCATCATTAAGATATGTGAGCACACAAATTGTTCTTTGCTTGCTGAAGGGGGACTCTCCATTAAAACAATGTGAGGGCTCATACAGATTATTGATGGCCACCTTGAGGATATGGGAGAAAAGGAAGGTGATGAAGAGTGTGTGTGTATATGTACCTGAAAGGCCCACTCTCATACATGGAAGAGATTAGAGAGGCGAGTAGAGGAACAAGAAACACTACACCTGATAAAAGCCACCTTTTTAGCTGCAAACACCAGGATGCCTCACCAGCTGGTGAACGTCACCTAAATGACTAGTTTTCATCCCTGAGCTAGCATCCACCGCAGAAGTAAGAAGCAGCACCCCTCATCACTCCAATGTGCCTGAAGTCACACTCCGGAGGGAATTTAAGATCATGGGACAGATAGGGGAAGCAGGACAAAAGGAAAAGCTGTCCTACACCAGTCTAGTCCACCAGATCGAAGCAGGCCTCCGGAAAGGACATTCAGAGGTAGAGGTGATAGAGGCAGTAATAAGAGCACTCAGCCCAGGTCTCCATCTCAAAGACATGCTTGAAATCAAGAGCAATTTAACTCTTTCCACCCTCAAAACCATCCTGAAGGGGCACTATAAGGAAGGAAGAGAGCACCTCTTACATCTTCTACAAGCTGGTTAACTTCTCACAAGAGCCTAAGGAGAGTTCCCAGACCTTTCTTTTCTGCGCCATCGAGCTGAAAGAGAGGCTACTGTGGAAGTAAAATGATGGAGAGGCCGACGACTACTATGACCCAGAATTAGTGCAGAGAAAGTTTCTCCAGGCAATCGAGACAGGTCTTCTGAGTGACTCAATAAAGTTTCAAATGAGACCCTTTCTGAGTGATGTCACAGTGAGTGATGAAATCCTCATAGAGAAGCTCAGTGAAGCTGCAATTCTGGAGGCTGAGAGGCAAAATAATCTGAAGAAATCCACCAGTGGTAGGGAAGCTCGTATGTGTGAGATACAGGCAGAAGTTCCCAGTACAGCTCCACCAACGGTGAAAAGCCCCAACCCAGAGACAGCAAAGGTGTCCCAGCCTCAGTCTAAGGAAGCCCAAGCCCACAACTCTGCCACCCATCTAATGTTGGAGCAACTTAAGACTGGTGTCTATTAAATGAGGCAAGTGTTCCTGGCAGCCATGGAAGCCACCTCCCAGCACCCACATAGAACCCCCACCTCTCAGACAACCACCTACCGGCAAGCAGCGAGAGTAAGGCCAGAAACTAGGCCGAGACCCATGGGTTGTGTAGCATGTCAGCAGGCACATAGAGGAGATCACTGTGATCACTGTTTTTGTGTGAGGAGTCTGGCCATGTCTCTCATGGGTGTAGGAGGCCAAGACAGACGGGAAACGAAAATGGGCTGCTGAGAGGGGACCACCAGTAGTTCCAGACCCCAGGTCCCAACAAACACCCGCCAGAGAGAGAGAGATAGCACCAACAGGCATAAACCCACACAAAAGAACACCACAGCTCACCAGCATTCCCTCCACATCTGCACCAAAAACCCTGCATGTAAACTATATGAAGCCACACCGAAAGACGAAGTTAGTGAACCTCATCGGGAAACAGTATCTGGTGAACTGCAGGATAGGTGATGCCGCAGTGGAAGCTCTGTGGGACAGTGGAGCAGAGGCTAATGTCATCAATGAGGCCTGGAGAGCTGAACATCTCCCGCACAACATCCTCAGGCCCATTCAAGAACTCCTGAGACCAGAAACATTGACTGGTTTAGCAGCTAACCAGACTGAAATTCCTTTCACACCACTAACCACCCAATTTCACTGTACCAGCGCACCGTCCTTAGCCACCTTGACACAGTAAAAGCTGTTTCTGCTGCAATACTCTGTCCTGACCTCAGTTTCAACGTTCACCAACCATGCCACTTGTTCTGCAGTCAGCCTGAACCCTGTGAGCACAGGAACACAGAGAGAGGAAGAAAACATCAGCCTTGGCGATACACACCGTCCAAAGTGGCACCCTCCTATTAGTCTGGAACACAATGAGAGAGACCTTGCATGAGGAGTGTGAGGCATTCGCATATGATGAGAGTGACATTCGCAGCATATTGACAATGAACATGCACATCACACTCAGTGATCCCACTCCTGTGCAGAAAACATACATGTCCATCCTGAAGGTACTCCATGCAGAGGTGAAGGAGTATCTCCAAGATCTGCTGAACAAAGGTTGGATCACCCCCTCTAGGTCTCCATACTCCTCTCCTGTGGTGTGCGTGAGAAAGAAGGATGGAAGTCTTCACCCGTGTTGTGAGTACAGGGAGTTGAACAGTAGATCAGTGCCAGACCCATCCCATCCCTCGCATACAAGACATGCTGGATTCCCTGAGTCCCTGAGTGACCATCAAGGGTCCCTGGATCGTGAAAGCCGCCCACTGACTGCCTACATCACCCCATGGGGCCTCTATCAGTGGACAAGAATCCCCTTTGGCCTTAGCTCCGCCCCTGCTGAGTTCCAGAGAAACATGGAGGAATGCTTGTCAGATCTCAGAGACACAATATGCCAGCCATACCTTGATGACAAACACAGCTCCACCTTTGAGAACCACCTTCAGCATATGAGAATGGTGTTAAAGAGGTACAAGCAACATGGTGTTAAGCTCACTCCCTGCAAATTTGAGCTTTTCAAGAGAAATGTCAGGTTTCTGGGGAAAATAGATATATAGATAGATTGATAAATAGATACATACTTTATTTATTATATATATTTATTTAATGGTCAGTGGAGAGGGTTATACTGTGGACCCTAAGGACCTAGCTCCAGTCCAGGCACTCAAAGAGAGGAGACCAGCTACTGTAGGAGAACTCAGACAGATCCTGGGTTTTGTCTCATATTACAGATCTTACATAAATGACTTCTCGAAGATCGCAAAGCCCTTGTATGCTCTCCTCTCTTCAGGCAAACCTAACTCAGGCACACCCAACCCTCTGTCAGCCACAGCAGTCAAGAGTAGGAGGAACAGACCAGCTAAAAATTCCAACCAAAAGCCCTCCTGCACCCCCATCATCTGGACACAGCTCCACCAGTCACACCATCAGCGCCACCAAGGTCAGAGTCACTGTGGGGAAAGAGAAACCTACCTGGGAGAGTGTGTGTCCAAGCACTGAGGTTAGTCCAGGATGCCTCCTCCAATGCTTTAGGTTAGGACTATTTGAGATGGTCTCCATCGATTTCCTCCACCTGGAGACCTGTAAATAGGGATTTGTGTACGTCCTGGTTGTCATGGACCACTTCACCCAATTTACACAGGCTTACCCCACTAAAAACAAAGAGGCTAAGACTGTTGCAGATAAACTGTTCAACGACTTCATCCTCCAATTTGGCTTTCCATGTAAAATCCACCATGACATGGTAAAAGAGTTTGACAACCAACTCCTTCAGAGATTAAAAGAACTGAGTGGTGTATGAGGGTCCCATACCAGCCCATATCATCCAGAGGGAAATGGTCAAGTAGAGAGGTTCAACAGGACCCTGCTGAGCATGTTGAGAACCCTGACAGAGGAAGAAAAGGCAGACTGGAAAGCTTCTGTGCCTAAAGTTGTTCATGCCTACAACTCCACTTGCTCAGAGGCAACTGGCTATTCCCCCTATTTCCCCCTGTTTGGCAGATCACCAAGGCTCCCCATCGACCTTTTGTTTAACCTGAGTGTCAGCGACAAACATGAAAGGCATGAGGACTATATGACCAACTGGCAAAGCAGAATGAAAGAGGCCTATTCCACTGCCAGTAAGACAGCAACCAGGGAGGCTGCTCGTGGAAAGGTGCACTATGACAAGAAAACATATGGTCATGAGTTGCAACCTGGAGACAGAGTCCTGGACAGAAACTTGTCTGACCGTGGGGGACCACTCAGATCATACTTGGAAGACAAGGTGCACATTGTCATCCAGAGAAAGACTCCTGAAAGCCCTGTCTATGAGGTCACAGCTGAAAATGGGAAAAGCAGCAAGAGAGTGCTCCATCGTAACCATCTCTGAAGTGTGCCCTAAAGAGAAAACTAAGAGTCAATCAAAGAAAAAGAGAGGAATACACACCCCCATCACAAAAAGGCAGGCAGAACAAAGTGGAAGTGACTCACAAGGTGACTATGAACTCAGATACCCCTTGCAGAATCATTCCCATATCTCCTCTTCACAACAGTGAAAGGAGATGTTTTGACTGTCCAGAAAAAAAAACCTCCTGAATGGACTGAGAGATGATCCTGTCTCAACAACTTGACAGTTGTTGAGGAAGAAAACAGCTGAGCCGAACTCCCACACCATGGACACTAAATGACAACTTTCTGACATACAGTGTCAAAGGCAGCACACCCGTCTATTTATCATCTGTTGGTTGTTCCTGAAAAGTAAAGGGTGTATTTAAATTGGGCTGACAGTAGTGGGGTCAGGGATCTAAGATACTGTAGGTTTGTTAAAATAAGACCATTACCATCATTTACACCTAAGATATCACATATGTCAAAGTTGATAAAGATTTTTGTATAGAAGGTGGTTTCCAGAGTTTGAATACCTTTTATTATAAACACTTTGAAATTGTATTTTGTGACTAATTTTAATTTCTTTCTGTATCATCTTTTTCTGTTTAGGGCGATCAGCACAACCACGGTAAGGGTTTCCTCTGCACCCAAGTGTAGGAGTAAGAAGCATATTCTCAGATTTCAGCATTTCTTTTATCTAACCCATATGACTTCAATAAAACAAACTGTCTGCAATTGTCTAAAAATGTAATAGCATTGTAGAAATGCAAATCATGAAGTAAAAACAGATTCAATTTCTGTGGATTTGACAGTAAAAGAAGGTAAAAGTGCTGTTTTTTCCTTCCTCTTTTCACTGTTGGTCACTTCATATACTTTGCATCAATCACAAATTATACTTGTTAGTTTCAGTTAATCATGACATTAATCTTCAGCTATCCTCTCAGACTCCGAGCATTGTGGCAGATCTAAAGAAATATGGGGCTTCACCAGTCGAAGTTGCAGTTTTCCTCATAGCAGCAGCAGCAGCAGCAGCAGCAGCAGTTCTCTATTTAATCTGCAGTCTTTTTACCAGAGGTACTGCATTTTTCTAATTTCTCTAAAATTATAAATGTTTACTAATCAGGGAAATCATTTATTTTTCAGAGAGCATGGTTACTCAAGATGTGAGGATTTTGCTGCTGAGCTGTTCAGGAAAAGGGAAGACCACAGTATAAAAAGATAAACTTATGAAGCACACCATTGGAGAACTAAAACAGGAAGTGGAAACTATCAAGCAGAAATTCAAGCAGAAAGAGAAGGTACATACAATACAGAAAGTTCTGGATTCATCATCAGGTTCTTTTGTGAAATTGTGATGTAGAGTGTGACGAAGAACCTGCACTAATGTTAACAATCTATGTAGATCTTAACCTAGAGAGCAATAAGTGAGAGAATCAGATGATGTCAATGGTTGCTGCCTGCTCTGGACTTCTTCTTGACTGAATTTCAAACAGGTCCAACATCTGTAGCTTATTTAATGTTTGTCCCCATGCCAGTGGTGGAAAGTAAGTATATGTACTCAAGGATTGTACTTGAGTACAATTTTGAAGTACCTGTACTTTACTTGAGTCCTTTATACTTCCAATCCACAACATTTCAGGGTAGGGGTAGTGGTCATTTGACGTGGGGTTGTGTGAGGTAGTCATGTACATAGTCAGTGTGTTACCTGCAGTATATTCGGATCAGCGCGCTGCCAGTAAGGAGAGGCAGCCATTGCTGTATTGGCACTTTTACTTAAATAAAGGATATGAATACTTCTTCCACCACTGTCCAATGGCATAACTGATTATATGTGTTGACACACACAAGTGTCTTGTAATTTTCTGTGATCATTTCACATTGAAGGTCATTCTGTTTGATTGTTTGTGGGACTTTTGCTTTATGCTGTTGATTTTGAATAACCTTTTAATTCTTTTAAAAACCTTGTGTAGTAGATTTTTGGAGACTGAAATTTTTATATATTTATGATGAATGTAGGGGGAAAATAATTTTTTAGTAATTCTTTTTGAATTGGAAATATAAATTCTGTTTTAGGCTGCTGGCGAGTAGAAACACAAAAACATGGTACCACCAACTTGTCATTTTTTTATGCAAGAAAGAACAGAAAATCATGTTCTGTGTGTTTCAATCTAACAGCATTTCTTCTTGTGCAGGTCTGAGAAAACAATGAGCTGAACCTGGCTGGAGGCTGCATGGAGCAGCAGGGTTCAGTGTTCTTGCTTTGGCATTACAGCAACTTTTTTACATAGAGGAAATTGATATTTTGAAATGATAAATACAATATAATGATTTTATATTTAATGTCAGTTAAATGTAAAGATGTGTCCTGCATTTTTCAGTTCAAGACCTCTGATTACCTCCCCTGTTTTATGTGCTTGATGATGGAATGTGTAAATCACATGATGTGGCAGCAGGATTGTGGTCCATCCAAAAAGAATCATTTTCATTTTCTATCTTTTCCTCTGTGGATGTCAGAGCTCTTGCAAAAACATTTAAAGAAGAAAACCCAAGAGAAAATTGAGTGGACTGTCAAGAGTTTTTTAAACTTTGGTAAAGACCCAATGAAACACTTTCAAATGTTGTGTGGCATGGAGGAGGTAAGCCTGACCCTGACCATGTTTAACATTGATGGTGTTTAAAGTTTAATATCAGTGCAGTGTGAACCATAGTGCCATCATGCAGCCCTGTTCCTACCAAGCATTTTTAGGGAAGAGCTACAGGACTGTTTAGTTGACCTTTAATCAAGTGCATGGATGTTCAAACTAATGTAACCCTGATACAGATAAACTCACTTGAGGAATGAAGGGTCCCATTAAGCTGGTATTTAGGTGCACAGGAGAACCCGGAGGTATCTGAGAAGATGAAACAACACGTCTTAACCATAGACATTGTTTAGGGAGGAAAACTTCAAACGAAACTTAAATTGTTTTCTTTTCTTTTCTGTTTTAGTCCTCTCCATCCATTTACTGTATGCACCCTTTCAGCTCTACTTACCATGCTGTTGTTGATGAGGACCTGAAACCCTCCAGCTGAGTAGAATCCATATGAGGCAGAGTTCAGAGTGAATTCAGACAGGCCCATTGACAACATGTAGCCTTGCTGCTCAGGCATGGTGAAAGGCTGGGCCTCAAATGGAGGATCCACATGAGTTTTGATACTGTAGAACTCTCCCTTGAAAAAAAAAAGTTGCAAATGATCAAAAACAGCTAACACCACATGTACAAGCTCTCATGGTAACGGCCTGATGTGGCTAAAAATCAGGGTGCCTCCACAATATGCAAACAGATAATACATATTTGTATTATATATAATATATATATAATATATAACAGATGGATATGAAACTACCTCTATGTGTGTATCCTTACCTTGAAACCCAGATTCAGTCTTGAAACATCAATGAAAGGGAAGTCAGTGAGAGAGAGGTCGAGAGTAAGAGCTTGATCCACGTCAAAGGAAACTGAATAGAGTAGATATCATTTGTAGACTGAATCATCTTTTTATACATTTAAATTCATGCGTGTTATTTTACTTTTGGCTTAAAGTAAAATAACTAGTACCAACGTTTACATTGTTTTTTTATTTGGGTTCTTTATCAAAGTGTATTCTTCTGCAATACCGTTCATGGCCTGTAGGTGGTAGTCCAAGTTAACAATCATTTTCTTCACGTAAGGGCAAATCTGGGGTGGGAACAACAAGGCAAATGTCCTGAAATGTTCACCACTGAAAGTCTTTACATTTGGTTTCATCTGAGCATTAATGAACATGCAGGAGAGACCAAGCCTCCACTGATCCACAGATACACATGACAAAGAGAAACACTCACTTTGATCTCTATTTCACCCCTGATACGATCCTTGAAATGGTTCACAAACTGCTGGACGATCCAACTATTGACAAATAAGAATAGAGGGCTCATATCTTTACATCAGTATTGAACCTCTGTATCTTTCTCTCTAACTTTTTTACTGTACCTGGCTCCACCATGGAATTCCATGTCCACATCTCCAACCTGAGCATCACAGCTGACACTGTTGACAGACAGATGCCCGTCAGCATATTTCCCCAGCTCCACCACAGAGCTCACACTCACACTAAACACAGCCATGTCGAATGATCCCCCGTCATGTCTGAAAATACACAGAACAAACAAATCAGTGCACGTCGTTATCAATTATTTATTCAGCATATGGCACCAAAGCCTCTGCCACATGTGTGTGTTTGTGCATTCACATAAAGTCAGCTGACTAACTGTCGGCTCAGTGACTTGTCCAAGTTACACTTTTTAACTTATCATATATGAATTGTAAATAACACCTGATTATAAACCTGTTTTTATATTTCCTTATTTACAGTACATACAAATGGTAATTTATCATCACTGACACATCAAATGATAACAATTCTAGGCTCTTGTGACCAAATAATACATGTAAATCTGGATTTAGAAAAGTTACATGTTAAATTTAAATGCTAATTAAAATATAGGTCACTTTATTTCTTAATTCTCTATACTTTAATGTTATTATGCCTGTTAAAGTAACTCAGTGGAGTGCACACTGCAGTCCTCTGTCTAGGTCCAACAATACAACCATTAAATTTTACTTTCACTTTCAACATTTAGTTTTACACAGATTCTGAAAGAGGTCGATAACGAAAGGGGAAAGAACAGGAAGTCACCAAAATCACGGGTTTCTTTCTTTTGTCATGTGAATGTGAACAACAGTACTGTACTGAGATTAGCTGACTAACTTTACTGACACCATTTGCATTTGGTTGGGGATAGCGAAATGACAGTAAAATGATTGTTATCTTTTTGTAACCTAAAGAGCAAAATAAAGATGAATTAAATTTAAAAAGTAAGGATGATGTAGCATAAGTGAACAGGTGATTTCGTATCTTTGTAAGAGCAAAGCCAATGAAGTTCCACACAAGAATACAGGATCAACAACATAGAACTGGAGACACTTACATGACACCTTTATACACACACTTCCTTTTCTAACTGAACCCAGATTAGCTCAAAGGCTCTTTCAGACTTGAACCTTAATGTCAGTTCCTCACTAAGACTGGACACACATTTATCTATCAACATTTCAAACAGAAGTGCGTTAAAAAGGCTATACATTTTAAAATGATCAAATTTATATGCAGTCACTCTTTTAAAACACTTTGTGTCAGTGTGAAGAGGATGTTGCTCTGAAGATTTGTCCTCTGCCTGAATGGAAAACTTTTTTGAGATTGCTATAAACCCTGAGCTGTGGAGGTACTGGCTTCATGATCAAGGAGTTTATTTGTAGGGCAGAGAAACTCACATTATGCCATAGTGTGTCATCCACTCGCCGCTTAGTGCAACACTGAGGCCTAACATGGATGTCTTGAATCCTGTGGCATCCGGATAGAACTCAACAGATGGCTCAGGAAGGTCACATTTGATTATTCTGATGCTAAAGCACATGGGAGAGCAAAGACAGATGTTAATAGGTGGCTGACACAGATCTGAATACTTAGGTCTGACGGAATAAATCAAATACACAGTATACATACAGCGCTAATGGTTTTCAGAGTATATAACAGGACAGTTACTGGATTATTCGCCCTGGAGTTCAAATTTGTAAAATCCAATCAGCCTATTCCTTTTATAGAGTAAACTGGGTGAAGAAGTCGTCTTAATATATCAATATACACCTCATCAGTATACCTCAATATACAGGAATGTGAAACGTAAACCCACCCTGTTAGAGTGTAGTCTATGCTGCCCAAAACGCTGATGTCAATTTCACCCGTGATATCAGGGAGAGTGACATCCTCCAAGTTCTTCTGAACCCAGTCTGTGGCTTCATGCTTTCCTGGGACGAACAGCACATGCATAAAATTTTTATTGTTGTGAATGAAAAATGTCTCAGGTACTGATCACAGTAACATATTTTGCTACTACTTTATGAAAGGACTTGTCTTGCTCTGAAGCAATGTAACACCCTATGAAACAATTATTCTGTCCTTGGATAAACTTAGCAACCGATTGAATAATACCATATCACATTGCCTCACCATACTGAAGTCCTTTGTTGGTCAGGGTGACTTGTATGGCAGGATTTTCTCCACAGGTGCAAGAGAGGAGCATAAGCACTGCTATCACAGTTAGAAGCATGTTGCTGGATCCTCTGTGGTGCAGGCAGAACCTATACTCTACTAAATAAAACATTTGAGCAAGAATGGAACCACAAATTCTAACCCTAACCCTAACCCTTTTTTTTAATAAGAAACATAAATTCTAAACGCAAACGTGTTACTCACAATAAACCAGTTTGGGAATATTATGTAGCATACCTGAATGGCTGGAGGATGAGGTGTTTATCTGCCAAGCTCAAAATGACTCCTGACGTTTGTTCTACATGAGAACAAATGTCTTCTTTGCTTCTCTGCTGTTGGTTTATATACTGCAGCTTTAGCTTCCTGCACCACCGGGAAGTGAAACTGCCTGACATCTCACAATTGCCTAGGAGAGACTGTTGAGTGCTGGTGTGAGGAACAAGAAACTATTTTCTTTTTATTCTGCTGCCTGTTTTAAGTGTGTAACCACCCCCCCCCCCACCCCCCCACCCCCCCCCCCACACACACACACACACACACACACACACACATTCAGCAAGATCAACAAAGTCAAATAGGAACTATAGTGTTGATAGAAATACATATATACTGTATATTTATGCTGAATGTACAATGTAAGTGTTTTTGAAGGTGGATGTCGGTCTGTCTTATCAGAAACAAACTTTTTTACAACATCCTCTTTTTCAGAGTAAAGGCAGGTCATGGTTGACTAGCCTGTGAGAGGAAGTGAAACTTACCAGCAGTTCTGTTGACTTTTAGCAGTAAGCGTCTTTATCGTTTCTATATGAGATCAATAAGCTCAAAAATTCTACTTTAATCCACGTCCTGTTATTTTTGTTTTGAATACACAGCAGTCCTGGCTTCAAAGTGCCAAGATGCTGCTGTTATGTAATTGTTGTAAACGGCACCATGTTTTCACCCAGTCTGCTACAAGCTGTTCTGGGTCTCTGCATCCTGTCAAAAAAGAAGCTACACACCATTCGTCACACAAATATGTAGCTGCACATCTCACTCTCGTCTTTGCATTCTCATTTTAAGAAAGGAGGAAGCTTAACTAACCTTTACAAGAGGAAGCTTGTCAGGGTCCATGACAGTAAAAACGAAAGTCTCCACTATTCAGTCATGCCTGGTCAAATATAGGGCAAGGAAACGTTAGAATCACCAGCCATAAAATATTTCATTTATTTAACTCTTAGTTCAACAAATATTCTTTGTCTCACACACCATGTTTAGTTCCATTAAATCACAATTAACAAGGTCAATAGGAAGAGAATATTATCAGACAGACATTTTTCATATAACACAATTAGGACCCACTTGCTTGCACTTTGAATTCACTTCATCCAGAATGACACTTGAAACACCAAGAAAACAAACAAGCCAACAGGACGACTATAAGATGGAAAATCAAACACAAAAAAAACCCAACTGAAAATAAAATAATTCGGTTTAAACAACTACACATAAGTTATTCATGGTTTATTATAATGCACAGAGCACCATCTGATCTGAGGGGTGCCTTGCTCTTATATTTTCTCTGAAGTGGGATTAATGATTATATCTAGCAGCTCAAAACCCAACAATAACATACTGTATTCTTCCCATTGTTTTCACATATTTCATTCCCCAGCTATAAACACATACACACTCACAGTTAGACCCATGGCGGACATTTTCATTGGATCTTTGACAACTTTGCATCAGGACTGATACCTGGACGGGCTTGTTAATACCCGCATATTTAATCACCCCCTTTCATGCGGTGGGTGTATTCCTCTGTCCAGTCAATAGTCTAAAACATGTTTTCTGGAATGAGCAGACTACTTTACACTATGATTGTAGAGTTTATTATTGCACATTATCACGAAGGCAAAATAAAAAGATGTACAGTTCACACAAATAATCCTCCTCACGAGCTCCTATGTGAAGTGGTCAAGATGATATTTTGATAAGGTCTGCGTCATGACAGCCTGCCGCAGCGAGGCATTATAGGACATCACCGTTCAGTAAAGGTCATCTCTGAAGCTCTCAGTCGTGGATATTGTACCTGTACGCCTCTATGAGTCCTTCAATCGAGTGAATGAAGCCTGATATGGCGCATATGCCTCCAATAACAAAGATGGCAACATCGAAGAAGACGTGATGCCACAGGAGATTCCTCCACTGGAGCTTCAGGTGGAAGAGGCTTGGCAAGAGGAAGCACAGGCCAGCGCCGGTGAGGCTCCCAGTTAAGCCCATCAGCAGGGCGAAATGGGGGACAAAGACGGCCATAAGCAAGGTGAAGACCACGAGGGCAATTCGGAGGCCCAGACCCCATGATTTCAACTGCCCACCCGGACCGTAGCAGTCAGGAAAGAAGGCTCTTCCGCCATCCTGGAAAAAGGATTTCTCCAGAACCTCCACAGCAGCAAAGAACGGCAGCGGGTAAGACAACAGGGCCTTGGCCACGAGGAAGATGTTCACCACAGCTCGGATAGTTGAAGGCAGGTTGTCCGTGATGACCTCTTTGGTGGCGTCTGCCCATGTCAAGTAGGCCACCAGGGCAAAGAGGCCCTTGAGGACGCAGGCGCTGATGTGAGTCCAGTCCATCATGCAGTGGAACTCGCTAGGCTTCTGCATGTTTCCCTCCAGGGAGGGGAGGAAGATCTGGGAGGTGTAGCTGAACACGATGATGCCAATTGAAATGGGGAATTTCTTCACATCGATATAAAACTTGACCTTCTCCCAGGCCCACTCGCGCGCCCTGGACAGGCAGTAGGCAATCACGAGGATGTTTATGACGAAGTGCGCCACAGTGCAGAGGAAGCTGAACTTGGACACGGCCTTCAGGTTCTTCAGGAACGCGCACGGCAGGAGCGCGACCGTGGCCACCACAGACCAGGCTTTCTGAGAGACGGGAAAGCCCGGGAAGCTGTTGTACATCAGGTTGCCGCTGACCACAACGTAAAGAATACAGGTCATGACCAGCTCGATAATCTGAGCCACGTTCACAACGTGCCCGCCCAGCGCTGGGAAGCGGGGCGCGCAGCAGGCATTGGCGATGTCCACGTAGGAGTCCCTCACGCGCACTTTTATGCCGTCCTCGTTGTCTTCGTAGAGACACGCGATGAGGATTTTGCCCGTGTAGCAGCACACCACAGCTGCGAAGATAATGAGGAAGAGACCGAGGTAGCCGCCGTGGAGGATGGCGTACGGCAGGCCGAGGACGAACATGCCCTGCGGACAGAGAAGCGCAGTTGAGTGGTAATGGACGAGGCCCACATCGCAGTGACAGGCCGAGCCAGCCCGGGCATGCACTGACACGGCTCACATCTTACATAATAACACTAACAAAATATTAGGATGACATTTTTACACATTAAAATGACGCTGAAATACAGAAATGTGGGATTTATCACCGCTGATTATTCCAGTGTCAGCAGCACATTTATTTTCTTTCTCCTCGCCTTTGAAAAACAGACATTTCTTCTGCGTGAGCTACAGGATAAATCGACGTAAATCATTAAAATACGATTTACAAACGAACTTTGAAATGAATGTGATTAAAACTCAGATTTGACGGGGCCGCTGATAAACACGTGGGTGCTGTTCAGCCTGAGGGCTATCACAGTGAACAGGCCCTGCCTGCAGCTCCACTGATAAAAAGATTTGAATAAATACATTCTAAAACCATCGCTGCAGTGGATTCACTCAAAAACCATAAATGAATAAATGATAAATTTAATTTAATGTTGATGCAAATGTAGCAGGCTTTCATATACTTGAAAGCTCGATATAATGTTATTCCACTCTATTTGGATATTTTGCCTTATAATCTCGGACTGTGTGAAATGATGCGCATGTTCAGAGTAGTCTTCTCTGTCTCCCTGCATAAAGCTCCAAATTTTCAAGGTGACATTTTGTCCAGTTGCAGGCCTGCACGGAGCCTGCAGCACATGCTGTTTTTGATAGATGAAAGTCATCACAGTATATAGATATGTTTATACACACACACTATAGACTACCTGAATGGCATTGGTGACGTTCCAGCCAGCTTCCCATGACGTGATTTTGGGTTTATCCTCATCCAGCGAGCCTTCCGTCTTCAGGGACGAAGGCCTGGGGCCGGTGCCGTCTCTCTGGTAGTGGCTGTCTCCCTCCAGCTCCACCTCTCCTTCCATGTGCCCCCCTTCCTCTTCTCCTTGAAGGACATCCATTTGCATCCCTTGCCTGTAGTCATAATCCAAGTCGTCGCACTCGGCGAAACCCAAACCTTCTTCGTCCGTGGCGGCCTGGAAGCCCAGCCGGGCGAACACCCCGCTGACCTTGGCCTGAGATTTGTGGGACACCGTGTGGGCCGCATTGGTCAGCTTGTTGGTGAGGTTGTGTCGGATTAGGTGAGCCATCTTTATCCCAATGAAATACGGTCTTCAAATGAAAATGATATTACTGAGTAGAAAGCAGAGAAGCAGGTGCATGCAAGGAGATTTCGGCTGCTGCTACTGTAGAGTCATGCCTGTTGCCTCTTCGATGGCGTCGCGAAGTAACCAGCCTTCTAACGGCTACCTAACCGTCTCACCCAAACCGTTAACAGTCCTCAGCCGCTTTTCTTGACTTGCTCATCCATATTACTCCCTCAAAAAAACACTCCCTGGCATCTGCCTCGCGATGAAACGCCCCAACACAGAGACAAGAACGAGACTGTGTCCTCATCTGCGGCTAGAAATCTCAATTTCGCATTTTTTTTTCCAAGCAGTTTTTTTTTTTCAGTTGGGGGTCCTACTGGTGACAGCGCGAGCGCTGGAATCTGACCGCATCACCCAATGAGAGAGAGAGAGAGAGAGAGAGAGAGAGAGAGAGAGAGAGAGATTTAAAAAGCAGCAGCAGGATGACAGAACTGTCCCCGACCTTACCCGAGAGTGATGAGATCAAAAATTTCACCTGCTTTAAGCTTCATCCTGTAACAGGTCGACGGGCATCAACAAACAGCAGGCGTCATGTTTTAGGCCTGTGCTAATAAATATCTAACAAAAACTACTGCGTCAAATTATCAAAATGAAATTAATTTAAAATAAACAATCTTTTTTGAGGTCTTATAGTTTGTGGGTTCCATCTTATATAGGCTAAATTAAGCATATATATATACATGTATATATATACATACTATATACTATATATACTATGTATATATATATTGGTGCAAGAATTATCTATTTTTTTCGTTAGAAAAAAATTATTCATCTTCCACCTGACCTTAAATGTATTTTAACAATTGAAATGAATCCTAAATGTGTGAAATGAAGCATGTCCTCTGAGACTGCGTACAGTTATATACAGAGCCCT